GGAAATTTAGAGAGAGTATAGGACGAGGAAGTTCATCGGTGTTCGATCGATGAGGTTGTTGACATAGGAGGGTGTCATATCAGAGGCTTCGCATCTTGCGCATGAAGCGTTTCTGCTTTTCAGGACCGTAGAGCAGACGTCCGAGACGATGCCAAACGTAATGTAAGTGTCGTCCAAAGCAGGCTGAGCTGCTCCGTTCCAGGCAGCCTGGAAGCGCGTTTGGAAAGCGGCTTCGTCTTAACCGCCACGTAGTGCGTGGAGGAATCGCGTTGACTGCAATCTGGGCGCAAGGCATTCCAACGTATTTCACGATGGCCTGCACAGCTAGATTGCGTTAACTGCTCTTGGCAGAGCTAGAAGTCATTATTCTTGAGGAGGTTATGTTTGTCGTCAGGCATAGCAATGGCGAGCCCACGAAGACCTTCTCCATACGTTCAGCTCCACTTGATGGTTTGAGGTGGATCTCAAATCATTGATGATTTGGACTTGAAGGTGTACTTGGCGCTGTAGCACTGCTGGAACAGGCGAATTTGTAGGTGGTAGCGCGAGAATCGTCGATTTCGCATTCATCGTCGAGGTCGATGAGAGGAAGGATTGGTTTGTCACGCAGCTTAGACTCGAAGCTGGTGTACGCGTCTTTGGCAAATCTTCATGGTGAGGAATAGGTTGAGGGTAGCTGAAAGCTATTGTGTTTGTTAACAAAATGCACTACGCTAAAAGCTAGTGTAAAGATCTTTCGAGTGTTTTGAGTTTGAGAGAATGAAAGCTATGAGAGGATTAGAAAGCTATGAAAACTAATCAACGAGAGAGATCCACAATCAAAGGATCGTAGATCTGAACTCCCGCGGGAGACTGTAAAGTGTGATAGAGTAGGTTGCGGTAGCAATCCTACTCACTCCACGATCCAAAAACGGAACGCGTGAAAGATTCGTCTAGCATTTATCTAGTAGCGTGGAATCTCTCCACGCCAGCTAAATATCTAGCGCGATGTTTCACCATCGACCTAGTATGACTAGCGGTCATGAGAACCCTGTCTCAATGACTATTCACGAAAGACTCAGTCATGAGTCGAACTCAAACCCTATCTAGGATCGAGTCGCGAATAAGGCTAAGAGCCGTGTATTGCACAAGGCCATCCATGAAATTCGAGACTACCAAATGAGTACTGATGAGTTGATTCCACGGGCTCCCTTCGTTAGGGTCGTCAAAGACATTAGTCAGGATGTCTTGAAAGATAAGGATGCCTTATTCAAGCTCAAACCTGATCAGGTTCGATGGTCCAAGGAAGCTATCGATGCTCTCAAAGCAACCATAGAAGATGATTTGACTAACGTGTTTAAACAGGCTGTGAAATGCCAACTTCACGCCAAACGAACCACACTGATGCCATCCGATATGAAACTCTACATGAACATTGCAGAATCCCAGAAAAACTTTTATGAGAATGTGAGCCATGACCATGTCAAGTTGGCCAGTGCCAGAAAGGAGATTAAGACCAAGAATAAGAAAGCTTCAAAGGATGTCGACAGTGACGAAGAAACTGTAAGAACACAAGGAGGCGGTGGTGCAGCGATCCAGCCCAACCAAGAAAAAAATGTGAAAAACAAAGATGCCAATCCTGGGAACAAACAAGGTGGATCTATAAAAAATCCATACAAAGCAGACCAATCTGGCTGGCTTCCTTGTGGCGAGTGCAACAATTTAGTTGGTGGTGCATTTAAATGCATTCGGTGCGAAAAGAATATGCATAAAGATTGTGGAAGGATCATTCCAGAAAGTGAAATGCGGCCTGGAGAGAAAAATGGACGAATGTGTACTCCATGCTCAAATGAATCTATGGATCTGACTGCAGATGAGTAGAAAATGCAATGACCCAAAGATCAATCTATATATAATCGCCATGGCTCTATAGATATAATCTTATACATAATATATATATGTGTGTCTATAGTGGATGATCGATGCAGGCAATAATATATATAGAGCTCAATTGAGGGCGGGAGGGCATGATTGCATGATCGATGCATGAACCCAATATATTATAATAATAAGGCATGCAAGCATGCATGCATGCATGCAATCATGCAAGTGCATGTCGTGCAATAATAAGCAGGGCAACATTGGGGTTTGAATGAGTGTGATGGTGACGTTAAGCTTGTGTTCAGTTTGGGGTTATGGATGTGTTGGAATTTCTGTTTTGGGATTGTTAAAATATGTAAAACATTAACACTATTGTTAAAATGGTGTTTATCTATTGCCAAATTAAGGATTTTTAACACTTGTGTCAACGTGGTGGTAAAAGATGTGTCCTTATTTCCAATTTTAACTCTCTGTTAAAATGACCATCAAATATGTGGAATTGGATAATTATTGTGTTAAGATTTCTATTTTCACACAAACTTGACCAATATTCGAGCCTTAGTGCAATCGGCTAGTACAGGTACAAATGTAATGTATATGTTGTATTAAGACCCTCATTTTGCTATGAAATTGAGAATTCTTCCAGGTACATAGATGATCTTTTTGATATCCTTGCCTTCAATCTGTGCTGTCACACGCTCCACTTCCTTGGCAGCGGCGACAGCTGAATCCTCATCCGCGTCTTTGGCAACTGTGATTTCGCCTCGTACTTTGCCGTTGACCTGTACGCCCATTGTCACGGTATCGTCGACACACAGTTCTTCGTCGAATTCAACCCACGGTTGGTACGCCAGCGATCCTTCGTTGCCCAGCATGCTCCAGGTCTCCTCTCCGAGGTGTGGGGCAAACGGCGATACCATGATAGATAGCTTTTCGGCTGCCTCCACAGGCACCTTGTCCAAAGATTGCAGATGGTTGGAGAACACCATGAGAGCCGAAATGGCCGTGTTGAAGGCCATTGAATCAATGTCTTCGGTCACCTTTTTCATAGTCTTGTGCATTAGCTTCAGCGTCTCTGTGTCCATCTCGGAACTTCCATTTTCCACCGCTGATGACACGAGGTTGTAAACCCTGTTCTGGAATCGAACAACACCTGACACCTGACTAGTCTGCCAAGGCTTCACTGCCTCAAGAGGACCCATAAACATTTCGTACATGCGAAGGGCATCTGCGCCCTGTGCTGAGACAATATCATCCGGGTTGACTACGTTCCCTCGGCTCTTTGACATTTTCTCACCATCGCTACCGAGGATCATTCCTTGATGGACAAGATTTTGGAAGGGTTCGGGGTGCTCGGTGAAACCTAGATCAAAAAGCACCTGATGCCAGAAACGAGCATAAAGCAAATGCAACACTGCATGCTCGGCTCCTCCAACATACAGATCCACCGGCATCCAGTCTTTGTCGTCTTTCTTACTGAAGGCTGATTCGTCGTTCTTTGGATTGAGATATCTGAAGTAGTACCAACAGCTTCCCGCCCACTGTGGCATTGTATTGGTCTCACGTGCAAACCACTTTCCGTCCTTCTGAAAGTACCTCCAATCCTTCGCACGTGCTAGACACCCAGCAGGGTCATCTCCTGGTTGATAGTCGTCCATATCTGGCAACTGCAAGGGTAGATCTGCTTCGTCGACAGGTATTGGTTGGTTAAATTCAATGGTATGTTCGCAATCGTCCTCTCGAGGATCTTGAGATTCAGCATCCACACCATCGGCGAAGGAGACGGGAAAGTAGATGGGAATTGGTTCTCCCCAGTATCTCTGCCGAGAGAACACCCAGTCACGAAGTTTGTATGTGATCTTTGGCCCGCCCTTTTCGAGTCCTTTTAGCTTTTGCGCAACGGCTTTCTTTGCCTTTCCGGTGGAGAGCCCATCGAATTCGCCACTGTTTGTGCACTTTCCTGGTTCTGTGAAGGCACTGTCTTTGTCGAGTTTGTCAGGGTTCTTGAGAGGCTCTACAACCCATTTTACTTCCAGTCCAAATTTCTCGGCAAACTCAAAGTCTCTGGCATCATGAGCAGGAACAGCCATGACGGCGCCAGTTCCGTACGAGCCCAAGACGTAGTCGCCTACCCAGATGGGAATTTTGTCTCCAGAGATGGGATGAATGGCATATCCTCCAGTGAAAACTCCGGTCTTTTCCTTTGACGAGGTTCGATCCAAATCAGATCGAGACGACGTTGTAGCAACATACTCATCCACTTCTTCCTCTTGCTCGTCAGTCGTAACGGAGCCCACAAGTGGGTGTTCTGGTGCAAGCGTAACATACGTGACTCCCATCAACGTATCCGCTCGGGTCGTGAAAACCGTAATCGTCTGCAAGAGAATTGTAGAGGAACCCAAACGCTTTAGAAAGTTGAGCCCTAAAACAGATCCCGCCAGACGTCTCGGAAACATACCTCATCCTCCATTCCTTCAATACCAAAGTCAATGTTGCAACCCTGGCTTTTGCCAATCCATTGTTGCTGTGCGGTTAAGGTTCCAGATGGCCAGTCCAATCCTTCCAATCCTGCTTCCAATCTGTCCGCATAGTCAGTAATTTTCAAAATCCACTGTCGCAAAGGAAGTCTTTGAACTGGGTGATCGCCTCTCTCTGACAGACCGTTAATGACCTCTTCATTGGCCAAAACTGTCCCCAGAGCTGGGCACCAATTGACAGATACCTCAGACTGCATCGCCAATCCCTTCTTATACATCTGCATTTGCAAAAGAACCTGTCAGCAGAAAGTCCACAAGCATCCCCAAAGGGATGAACTATGCGAATCTCACCTGAAGGAAGATCCATTGGGTCCACTTGACGTAGTTGATATCTGTGGTGGCCAATTCCTTGTCCCAATCATAGGAAAATCCAAGCATTTTCAACTGACGTTTAAAGGTGGCGATGTTCTTGGTCGTAGTCTCAGCTGGTGGGGTCCCCGATTGAATAGCGAATTGTTCTGCTGGCAAACCAAAGGAATCCCAACCAATCGGGTGCAGCACATCGTATCCTTTCATTCTCCAATAGCGAGCCATGATATCCGATGCTATAGAAACAAACCAAAAAAGAAGAAAAGAAAAATGAGAAAGATATCTCAATGTAGATAAGACGATACGATAAGCCACGGCATCCGATTGCCTACCAGTATACCCCTCTGGATGTCCGACATGGAGTCCAGCGCCTGATGGATAGGGAAACATATCCAAAACGTATTTCTTTGGCTTATCAGGATCTCTCTCGGGGGTTTTGAAGGTCTGGTTGTCTTCCCAGTATTGTTGCCACTTCTTTTCCACATCCGCAACGGGGTACTGGACAGGGGCAGCTTGAGAGGCGGCACTGCTGGTATCTTCGGATGTGGTGGCACTGGCCAAACGGATATGGCTGGCAAGTAAAGGCGACCGTCGAACCACAAAGGATGAGCGAGAGGGCGTCACAAAGGCTTGAGCGACGCGAAGCATCATCATAATCTCGACCAATATTCTCAGGGAAGAAGCTGAAGTCAACATGCTCGATCTGCTAACGTTGAGAGAAAAAAAGACACGTGAGCTTGAGACACAAGTTTGTGATAGCGCCAAACTGTTCTCCAGCCTTGCGAGAATGTTTATGTTTTGTCAGCACCGAACAAATCTGGGCGCTTAGCACTCACAAGTGAATCAGCCTCCACCAAACAACATCAGGAATCAGGAGACGGATGGCTACATGATGTGTTGTTGGAGGCACTTCCTTCATCTATCTGCGTCACTCTCTTGCAGTCAAGAGTAATTGGGGAATGAAAGGAACCCAACAGAGCTGTGATTGAGCCCTCAAAAGGACCCAAGTCGGCTTTCTCCGCACACCTCGAAAGAAAGCAAAATGTGGGGTCATCCAACCGGATTGATTCCACCATCAAGCTCCCCGTACCAGCATCAGATGGCACCAACAACTCGAAATGGGCTGGACTCCAACCAAAAGCCTTCCGGACCTTCAATCCGAATTCCATTGGGTTGAACCAACAACTTGCAGAACTACAATCTGACACTCTGCCATTGAGCTACCAATGGGTTCATGGGTTCATGGACCTCAGGGTCCTAGTATGAGCCGGGCTTGAACCAACAACCTTCAGGTTATTAGCCTGATGCTCTGACCAGATTGAGCTACCATACTGTTGGGAGATGTGGGGTGGAATTGAACCACCGACTTGCTGAACTGCAAACAGCTGCTCTGCCACTGAGCTACCACATCATTTGGCACCAATGGATGGTGCAAGGCCAAGACTGAGAATCGAACTCAGATCGCCACATTCCGAATGAGGCATACTACCCATTGTAATATCTCGGCAAGAAAGACCAGTTCTCATCAGACAGAGGAACGGAATAGCTCGGACTCGAAGTGAGATACTCGAAGGGCAGCTGATAGATTATGCGCCACTGAGCTACCGCGCCTTGTCTTGTTGTTCTGTTGCAATTGGTCTTCGTTGTGTTCTATAAAGAAGTCTACGCAAACGTTTCGATTTTCACCTCAATCCGCATTCAAATTTGGTCTGGGAATGGATCAATCAAGTGTGAATGATTGCATGAGCACGTCTCAATACATGTAGTTTAAAAGCCAGCCGAGTAACTTAAAATATCCAACATCGCTCCCCACAGCTGGTCCATGCACGCAAGCCATAACCCACGGTACCCATGATGTACCTGTAGTTTTAGAGTTAGCTTCGATTATTCCGCTATCCAGGTCAAAGGTTGGGAAGGCACTGTGTCGCCATCATTGGTCGCAATGTCCATGGTGTAGATCTCCCGATTTGGCGCCCGGTTCGTAGTCATCATCTTACCATATTTGCCTTTGTCTGCACTTGAGGCAGCCTTGGATGGGCACAACCGTAATCGACACTATTATTATCGTTGCTGCGTACCGTATTCCATTCATTATGCCATCGGCAAGCTGCAGACGAAGCGTGCAGTGTAAACATCCAAGATAATCCATCACAGTCCCGGGAACGCAAAACAATGACGAAGATTCCTCGTTGCGGAGCCCCTTGCTACTATCCCGGTACCGGTACCCACAGAACCAAAGAGCAATAAAGAACAACGTGTCTGCAACAGCTAACCCAAAAACCCAAAACTAGTAATGGATGTTTGACCAGTCCAATCCTACCACCATTACCACCCCGAGATTTTTGTGGGATGCTGATCCTTCCGACCAGCACCAAAGGCAATGACGCTTTTTCTATCTGGCACCTCATCACCAAGAGAGCTCCAGCATGCCTTCATTTCGTCGATTGTCAAGTCATGACCAATGATATAGTACTTTCCCTCGCATACTTTGTCTTTGTTCATTTCTGGTGTATCAATCCATGTTATCTGCAATGGAGACTCTTCCAACCAAATTCCCAATCCAGCATCCTCCCCTTGGTAATAATACAAGCTTTCTTCCGTGGCAATGTATTGTGCCACAGCCCTGCTCACTACATAGCCAGCAGATCCAAATGCCCATGGAGGATATGTCTCCGGAGTGAATTTGGGGTCCTCTGCCCATTTGCCGGCCCTTTTGCATGCATGAAATGAATTTGCAAGTATCAAGTTCAATTTCATTTTGGGAGACGTATGGATTGTAGCAACAACGGAGTGTGAGAGATTGGATGAAAGGGGCTTTACTTCCGGCAAGAAACACCACTGTAAATTACCTGTGGGGTGGTGCACCAACAACAATACCTCCAATCACAGAAGGATGGTTGGGGTTGAATTTGCGCAGGACAAAGAATTGCAACAGCTTGACTCTGACAATGTGGTCATCATCTGCCTTGGCAACCCAATTTAAATCTGGAACGTTTTCAACAGCCCATTTCATTCCGTAATGCAGCTTGAATGGCAGAGATCTGTATGAATCGGTATGAACGCTGTCAATGATGTCCCCATACAGCTCTTGTTCTTTGAATAGTAGGTTGGTGGAGCTGGTAGGACTGGACTTATCCATATCCTCTGGAACATCCGGATCAGGCCCACCAATGACAAAGTAGACATTGTCGTTTGTTTGTGCCCATGTCTCTCGAATGGAAGCCCTTCGTTCAAAGTGTTTCCTGGCGCTGAGCACAAGTACCACAGTGGTCTGGTTGGTGACACGAGGAGGTGGAAGGGTATATTCTTCATTGGGTGTCACGGGAAAGCCATATTTGATTTTGGAGGCCACAAACGGAGCCTCTGTTTGTCCTGTAACACCGGAAAAGATGCTGTCCAAGATACCGTGTTTTTCGGCGTGTGGATCTGGCATGTTATCCATGGTGTGGGGATTGTCGGAAATTCGCATGAGGTTGAGAGTTAACGCCAAGGCACCAATGAACGAGAGGATTGGCCGCCATGGAATATCGCATTCTGGCTCATTATACATGTAGTAGTCATCATCGTCATCGTCTTCGTAGTACATTTGGTAACGGCGATCGTATCGTCGATCATAATGTCGATCATTTGGACGGCGCTGCCGACCACGATAGTTTCTAGTCGCCATCCTCTATAAGGTAGCTAGTAGTAAAGGCAATCTTTTCTCTCAAAAGTGTGAAATTTCTGGCTATCGGTAGCTCGTCACTGATGATACCGGTATGATAGATTGTAAAAAGATTCCGTCAAAGTAGACTACTAGCTAGTGGGTGGCATCGGGTCTGTGGGTTGCAACAAGCCTCATGCCTGTGTTCTGTGTTTCTTCCGCTTCAACAACCTGCAGTGACCGGTGACTCGTCCAGTCACAGCCAAAAATTCCTTCCAACGTAGCCGACACCACAACACCACAACAACGCAAAGACGAACAGAAATGTCCAATACCAGACCGTGACTGTATAGACTATATATATATCTTCCTTGTCTCTTGTTGTTATCTACCTATCTCTGGATGCCACCATCAAAACGGGAAGTGTGAACATCTACTGGAAGCTCAGCCCGCCCGAGCGAAAGATATTCGTCTACCTTCTTCTGCCCTCCCTCCACTTCCCCCCACAGACCCGGCAACAGAGTTTTTTTTAATTCATTCATTTTATATCTCCTAGAATGGCAACAACCGACTTGAAGCGAGGTTATATTCTACTGGCGGTAGCACTGGGTTGTGCCTTTCAATTATCACAGTTCGTCAGGAGCCAACAAGCAATACTGGGCAAGCTTGATCCTTTTGAAGTTGGGGATCACCCTTCCCAGAAAGATCCACCACCAGTAGAGGCCGGGGCGCTTGCCAAGGGTCAACAAATTGCGTTGGGATCTGTTGCCCACGGTACTTTGCTTACTGACGAAATCCTGGCCAGAATCAAAGGCAACGTGGACCAAGAGGTACAAGACGCTTCCACACCAGAGGAAGGACAACGGCCACGGGTGGATATCTGGTCGGCACTTGGAGGAAATCATAATATTCCATCCAGAGAAGGAGGGTCGCCAGAGGACGTGGGGTCGCCAGAGCAAGACGATGTCGATGAGAATGGCAGTCCTCTTGTCGATTATAATCCCTTCTTTGAAGCCACCAAATTCAACTATAGCCAACCAACCAAGCCCACAGAATATACCTTGCCAGCTCCAAATCGAACCAACCAATCTACAATCGTCATATGTCTCAGTGCTCGCGACAATTTTGAACGACGAGCTGCCATCCGGGAAACCTGGTCCAAAGGAAATGATAATGTTTACTTTGTCATTGGTGGACCAGTTCCAGGAAATCATAAAGACATGAACTTGGAAAATCCTCTCAGCACTTCCTCCTTGTTGCTTCAGGAACAGGCCAGATTTGGAGATATTATTGACTGCATCCATCCAGACACATACAAGTCATTGCCATTCAAACTGCACTTTGCAACTAGATGGGTGATGCGCAATCTCCCAAATGTGGAGTGGGTGGTCAAAGTGGATGATGACTGTGTTGTCAGAGTAAAATTATTGCAATTCTTTGTCTTGCGGCAAATGAACCCCAATCATCCTCAGGTCATTGGAACTATTGCCGTAGGGGCACGGCCACACAGGTAGGTTTTGCTGCATGAATCGACTGCTGCATCCATTCTTGGCTCACAAATAAATTTCCACATGAATTTATTAATTGAAACATCCTCACAAATTGCCATAAATGCCATGCATCAGGAGTGGTAAGTGGGCAGAAGACCCAAAGTACACAGCAGATGAATATCCACCTTGGGCATTTGGATCTGCTGGGTATGTGGTGAGTAAACCGGTGGCGCAGTATGTGGCAGACCATGATCATTACTACTATCAGGGTGAAGATGCTGGCTTGGGGATTTGGCTAGCAGATAGTGGGATGCAGGTGACATGGGTAGACAGTCCCGAATTACGGAAAGATGAAGGCTGCCTGGATCAACTGTATATTATTGGCCATGACCTAAGTGTTGAAAAAATCTATGAATGTTTTGGCAAACTGGGAGATGAGGTCCCAGAAAGGAAATACATTATCGCTTTCTCGGCAGGTAGAAAAGACCAATTTGCAGGTAGAATAAGAAACCCAAACTAGCAAGCAAGCACAGTTAGTGACAATTGTAAAAGGTTGAAATCCTCAAATGAGCATTGCTGCTTCTCCTAGTGTAAGCCCAGTAGCCAGTTTAGAGGTGCCTTCTCTCTTTTGCATTGACCAGGGTTGGTCCAGATGTAGGTCCTGAAAAATGTCCTGGAGTGGGGCTGAGATGGACCATCTATAGAATCCGCGGTAGGTCCTGAATTCATCCAGGTGTGGGATCATGAGTGGGGCCTGGAGATGTACCGGACACATTCCTTTCGGGGTGCCGGTCAATGTTCCCAAGTTTGAAGCTAGCAAGCTCTGGAACACCCACGATAAAAGTCTTAAATCACTGTAGTCAAGCCTTCTAAGTCATATGGCCTAACTCTAGTCGTGATTGTCGGAATTTTGAAATCACGATGTCGGAGTTTGTACGAGAATGTCGGCGTTTGTAGGAGAATGTCTGCATTTGTCGGAAAATGTCGGCAAAATGTCGGAAGGTTTCCAGACATTTCAGCGAGAATTTTCCGACATTTAAAACGGATGACTTTCGCTGTTTAAGTCGTGTTCTTCACTGGTTGGTACTTTCTCTTTGATAGAACCCTACAATTCGGAACCCTGTTAACTCATTCAACGGTCCTCTAATCGTAAATGTCGGATTTAACTCGCCAAAATGTCGGCAAAATGTCGGCAGAATGTCGGCAATGTCTGAGAATGTCGGCGTTTGTACGAGAATGTTGGTGTTTGTACGAGAATGTCTGCATTTGTCGGAAAATGTCGGGACATTGTCGGGAAACTTTCTTCCGTCATTTAGGCCATATGATTTATTAGCTGTGCCGGTCATATATCTTTTTAAAAGACTTTATCGAGAGTGTTCCTGGAGTGGCCGCCCTCAGTTGCTTTTCCGTACCACTATGAGCAGCCTTGCTTTGCCACCATTCCCTTCATTCGATTCCTTGATTCGATTCCTTCATCATTCGTTTCGTCGTTTCGTTTCGATTCGAATTCGATAAGGATCTATCCGATTGGACTCGATTTAACGTTCGGAATGAGAGACCGTTATTGTACTTCCGACCAGCACAAAGACGCAAAACAGACAAACCACCGCATGCATCAAAATGCTGTGTGATAGACTGCCGAATGAATGATAGTATACTAGCTAGTACATGTAGAGTAAAGCAATGATTCTGTTGCTGGTTCGGTTGGTTGTGGACCCATTGACGAGTGTGTTGACACTGCTAGTCCGCTCGGTTTTGTGGTTTTCCTTGTTCTTTTCTCTGGCATATTCCTTGGGATGGGTCCAACGTCTTTTGTGGTTCTTGTTGGAGCAATCGACCTCGGATTTGTGGAATGGCACTCCCGTGACGATTGGGTCTTTGGAGATTGATTTGATTCGAGGACGGATTTGGGCGACAAATGTTGTCATTCACACTCCCAAGAGGGAGGAATGGGGTTGGGAGAGTCCTCTGATTTGTCGCATTGGCCGACTCTATGTGGAACACAACTGGATCACGTCCTTCTTTACCATGGTGGTCAAAATGGCATGTGGCCACGGACAAAAACAAATATTGGAGCTCTACACTATTGAGGTTTCTGATATTCAGGGGTTCATTGAGCGAAAACAGCACATTTTCAACTTTTATTTAATGGACCAATGGCTCGATTTGCCAGATCCAAAGGACTTGGATGACAACGATAAGGAGGCACGCAAAAAGAGCCAAATTGATCCTCATGCTCGACCGCATCACCACCAGCAACAATCAGCAGATGTCTTCTCTTCCATCAACAACGCCAATGATGGAAATAGGAATGACAATCAATCAGAGGCTTCGGTGGATTTTAGCATGGAACATCCAGATCAGGTCGAGGCGGCCTACGCTGCTGGCAACAACAACAACACTACTACTAATACCTCTGTCATCGAGGAAGACAAGGATATCCTCGATGAACAAGAGGATGAAATTGCACATCGACAAGCACAGCAGCTGGTGGACGATATGTTTAGTGCCGTCAAGTCCATTGGACGAGCCGCACAGCAAAAAGGATCCTTTGTCGGAGCATTCATTGAGCAAAGAGCACAGCTGGCAACCAAATTGAAACAATTCAAAGGGACCAAGAACAAAACAGAAGCCATGCAAGAAGGAGTCAAAGTCATACAAAGAGTGGGAAAAGCAGTCGCCAAGAAAACAAAGACTCTGCAAAATGTCATGCCCAAAATGCCGAATCGACGAGAACCAGACATTCCACCCGTCTATGGGCGGGTAGGAAGAGTCATTATCGAAGATGCTCGAGTGTTTACTAGAATCAATACCAACAGTACAACTTCCATGGGTGCTTCCACCGCTACAACATCCACTGCCGGTACATCGGTCAGCGGGAGCACCATTGATACCAGCAAACAATTCACAAGTCCAGGCGGACATCAACCTGGAGCAGCACCATTGGAAGCAAACGAAGCGAAATGGAACAAACCCATTGGCATTTCCGAAATGGTGCTGCGTTCCGCCGAACTGTGTCCACCAAACTCACTTCTGGACGACAGGGGGCTGCCAGCCGTTTATCAGCCTCTAGACACCATTGCCGATGTCGTCATGAAGCGAGCGCTAGTGGGTCTGGCGAAGAGCAACACGTCGCGGTTCCTTCAAACGGTAAGATGACGTCGCCGAAGAAATTGTCTGTCCCTTGTCGAACTGATTGATTCGATTCTCACTGTTTCCTCTGTCAATACATACCGGTAGGCTCTGGGTGAGTTTCTGGAAATGGAATACTCGACAATTTTTGGAGAAACAGAGTTTGCCAACCCATCCACTACCGGGCGGCAATCTCCAATGCCTCCCACATCGAGTACAGGTCCAGGATCGGATACCGGGATATAACTACTAGATTTTAAAAACCATTCAACATTGCTGCTACAATAGAGAGAACAGTTTTTGTTGCCAGAGCCAGGTGTTTGTAGTAGAAAAAGGCTGCCTGTACTGTCGTTAGCTTTCGACAGCTTTGTCTAATGGAGAAGATAAGTCTGTTCGTTGTTTGAGCTGAGACAGGCAAGCAACTTCGTACTGGAGCGTAGATTATGATCACCATCATTGGAGACGTTCAATGACAATGGCAGATGCGCCCCCTCCTCCATTGCAGATGGAAGCACATCCAATTGTGGCATCCTTTTGCTTCAACACATCATACAAAGTTCCAACAATCCTGGCACCGCTCATACCAATGGGATGGCCAAGGGCCACGGCACCACCAAACACATTTACTCGTGAATGATCCAAATCACCCATGAGTTTCATGTTTGCCAAAGCAACCACCGAGAAAGCTTCGTTAATCTCGTGATATTCAACATCAGACAGACTCATACCCGCATTCTTTAGAGCAACCGGAACTGCCAACGACGGAGTGGTTGTAAAATCCACAGGCGCTTGCTCGGCATCTCCAAACCCTCTAATCCTGGCCAATGGTTGGATTCCCTTTTGAATCGCATCCTCCTCGGTCATCAAAACCATGGCACAGGCTCCATCATTGAGAGGACTGGCATTGGCTGCGGTCACAGATCCCTTGTCACTACGGTCAAAGGCGGGTTTCAAAGATGTCAGCTTGTCTAAGTTGATTGAATTTGGCTCCTCATCCTTGTCAATAACCACTGGGGCGCCTCTGCGCTGAGGAACTTCCACGGGAACAATCTCTTCGAAGACACCATCTTCGATAGCTCGTTGGGCACGTTGATAAGACTCAATGGCATACGCATCCTGATCTTCCCTGGAAAAGCCATAGTCTTGAGCACATTTCTCTCCGCACATACCCATGTGCTGCATTCATTCAATTCAATCATCCAGCGTAATGAAAGAAATTTGGTTGAGAAAAGACGGTATAACAAGTTAACCAGAAAACCATTGCAAGACCCCATTTTGTTACCAACCTGATTATTGTAGGGATCCCAGAGACCGTCAAACACGACGCCATCAATGAGCTTGGCATCCCCAAGGGTAGTCCCTTTCCGCGAAGTGGGCAGATAATGCGGAATGTTGCTCATGCTTTCCATCCCTCCGGCAAGGATGGCAAAGCCAGGGCTGGCCGAACCAGTGCATTGCAAGGTCTGAGCGCCCAACATGATGGATTTCATACCACTGGCGCAGACTTTGTTCACTACCATAACAGATAATTTCAAGAAAGAACATGTTAGAAACAGTCGAGTTACCCTCGGTAGAAGAAAGCAGCATAATATGATCATATACCGTACCTGTGGTTGCAATGGTCGATTCTGGAAGACCTGCACCCATCATGGCTTGTCTAGCAGGAGCTTGACCAATTCCAGCACTGCACACATTGCCAATGAAGCCTTCACGAATTTCCACACTGGCGGCATTGTCACCCAATCGAGCCAGAGCTCCCTTGATGGCTACCGATCCCAATTCGGGCGCTTTCAGGGACTGGAAGGACCCACAGAACTTGGCAATGGGAGTCCGTGCGATGCTAGCGATGACAATGCTGGTAGTCATGGTTCTTCTACCTATTGATGTTGTTTGGATCAGTTCTTCTCAACGATAATGCTCTTTCAGATGATTTGGTGGACTGGCGCTGGACTCGGTGAGAAGCGCGCCCCAAGCGAGAAAGATCCACCGCATCATCGCCTCCTGGATTCCACTTTTAGGTCAAGTGGAGCTACTAGACTATAGCAAGATCATGTCACTATGGGTCTATAGAGGTTGTAAACCTCCCCTCCAGACTAGGATCCAGGCAAAGGCAATGGCCCTGGTTATACCAGAGAGGCCTGCTGCATGTATCACAGACAGACCTACTTCCATCCAATTTACCCGGGCGGGAGGGAAGGGAAAAAGGAAAATTGGTGTCGGGCGGCTGCAACTCTGGTTCAGAAAAAGTGAACCTGATTTGTAGCCGCCCGATTAGTAGTCCTTCTAGCTAGTCATCAACACCACATAGGCACACCACCTGTGCACCCGACACTTCGGTCCACCACCTCATCCAAGGATGAGTGGCTCTCCCGGATTCCTGTCCGTCAGTCTCCCTTATGGTCGGCTCCCTGTTATCTCATACTCTCCGTTCTGTAGAATCTCTTCATTCCCTGTCTGGGAAGGTGGGCGTCATCAGAGAGCTGTCAGAGACAAAAATGCTGTCCAAGAATTGAGGAAGTTTCAAATTCGGTGAAGAACTTCTGGAAGAATGTTACCGGCACAAAATTGGAAAAGAACCTGTTACAATAAGGATGAGAGGCTCTATCCCCTCACATCTTCTCAAGAGAATTAAAGTGGTTTATTGAAGTGTTCTCTTGAGTCATCTTGCGGGGAATGTTCCTACCCTTAATTTCAGTAATCGTAAACCCAATAACCAATAACTAAGACTTGAACTAGTACTTTGATAGTACTAGTACGGTGCAGAGCTCGTACCAGCACCAGTTTTACCTACCAGCTGCGCGAAACGCATGTTGAGTGTTGTAGAGTATCGTCCCATCACTTCTTTTGCGAAAATCCAAAATCATGGCTGAAGGCTGAGCTGTGCATACCCGTACCGGTAGCTAGTTGGCTGAAGACTGAAGACTCTCTCGATCCCAAAGCATTTTGTTCCCTGATAAATCATTTGTCTCTCAGGAGGTATGCCTAGAATGTCTCAATGCCTGCCTGCAATGCCACCATGGCTTCAAGATCTTTAACAAAAATATCAACCAGATTAGATTTATTAGGCATTCATCAGCCAGAGACTCAGAGTCGAGTCTTTGACAAGGAAAAGAAGCTAACAGCTGGAGTAGTTCGTATTCACCTCATTGTGGCGGTCACAGAATCCGAGCATTGGGGTGCCATGGTTGTCTCAAGATCTTTGCTTTATTTCTCGCGAGCATCTGAATCGAATCGAATCATCTTGCTCGTTCCAACCTCTTGGTCTTTGGAAGAACTCTGCTAAAAGGCAACTTCCGTTCACAGCCTCTGAAGCAGAATATCGGGGTCTCGGGGTGTTGAAAGAGCTGTTGAAAGTACATTGCAAATGAATGGTACGAACTGTGGGAGCTTCGTCGAAGCATCGATGAGCTATACTTTCACCATTGTTGAGCCCCCTCTGAACGGTGAATCAACGATCATCGCCTCCTACCTGCTGAGCTACCTGCTGACTGTTTTTGCAACGAACACCCATCACCAAACGAGCTCTCTGGAAGCCTTGAAGTTGTTGAATGATATCAATTGAAGAATGCTCCATTTTCCAAGCCGTCAAGATCTGATGCTATGTGCAACTGTGACTGGTTATTATTGAACTATTATTGGTTGGATCTTGCAGCTTGCAGGGGAGCAAAGATTGGCCTCGTCCTCCACCATGTTCAAGTGCTGTTGATTGTTGAGGTCTCGTCGGCAGGCGTACGACATCGAGGCAATCGTCTTTGATGAAGAGCGAACAAGAGTGACCTGTCCCTTTTGCTTCTTTCTCAGATTCTTAAGGTTTCAACTCATTTGCGGAACCATTGGACCTTTCCAGTTGAAACGACCGGTGTAGAGGCGCCAACGAAGTACATTTACAAGATAGCTACTGGTAGCTACAAGATTCTCTCTGCGGTCTGCCTTCGCAGCCGCAACTTCGACTTTGCGCTTTCGTTGGTCAGGCGAGCGGATGGCGTGGAGGGATCCGAAGAGTTCGTCCTCATGGGTGTGGTCATTTCGAGAATCTGCACTTCCTGGTGAAGATGGTCAAATAATTTCTCTCTTCCATGATGGAAGAGAGGTACATGTAGCATACTACAGTTCCTTTGGACTAGCCTAAGAACCAAACTTCCGTTGGTGCTGCGCGCATTTGCACTTCATAGCCCTATGCATAGTTGTTCGTCTGCATGTTGCATCGATCGAGACAACAAAGCAACGAGACAGCCAATTCCCAATGCCTTTGAGGAGCTGACTGTGTGCCGTTATGCAAAGGACTACGTTTCGTTCCATCAGCGAGGAGCGCAAGGAAGCTGGCCTTGGAAGGGTCCGGTTACTGGGAGGCAAGTAGATGGCTGCTCGGAGGAGAAACACAGGGTAGGGGCTGAACTTGGTCCGAGTTGCTTCGATGCATGTTGGGGCACCAGCACCAGCATAGTCGTCCGGGTTGCTTGCATTGTGTGGGTAGCTCTGACAGGCTTGCGACGTGCGCATTGCTCGTACCAGTAGAGAAGAAGTTATCATGTGTCGGGCTTTGGAGGTTTCCCAGCCATACGTAGAAAACGGGGTTGCCCGTGGGTTACGGATCACTAAGGTATGAATACGTAACTGGCTGGAAGTCGCTTTTGCCGAAACGTTGTCAATGGGAACGTCCATGCCAGCACCTCTTTCTGTATGCGCGGCGGCGAAGTTAAGCATCGCGGGGCCAGGATGATACTACGGATGGAGGGCATGTTGGAATCCCTGGTGTGGTTTGTTGTTGCCTTGTCTGAAGTTTTGACAGTTGTGGCAACCAGCCAATGGGCTGTCGCTGCGTCGCTGCTCAAAGCTTGGTTTCGAACCCTCCGAATAATCAGCCCTGTTGGAGTTTACGATCGTTCCTTCCGCTCTATCGAGGGCTCCTTTCGATTAGGAGCAAGCTGCGGCAGGCCACTAACTGTATCTCTGCCTCCAATGCTCATGTGTCTGCAAGCATTGGGGTGTCCATAGTACGGATCCAGAGGTACAGGTCCGTCTCGGGCGGTGTGGGTCCAGGAGGAGTGGGTTGAGAAGTACTATGAACCGGCCTGGTGTTGGGTCTGGAGTAGGGAATTGAGATGGACCAAAGGCAAAGAATCCAGGAATAGTGCAGTGTGCTGCGCCTGGTGTAGATAGATCCGGAAATTTTGCTGTGCATATATGTCACTTGTTGATCCAGGTGTGAGGCTTGGAGATCGTGTAAGGGATACTCCAGGAGTAGGCCTGGTCTGTGTCCAGCAAAGGAAATGTACGTGTACCAGCTCTGGGAGTGACAGTCGGGAAGGGACGTGCGCCTGGAGAAAGTGGAGCTGCACGCGCGATGGTACTCCGTGCCAGGGGGGCAGAATTGGGGGTTGATGATAAAGAATTCATGACCCATTGTGACCCAACGCCAGGCTTTGCTGGATCTTTTTCCTCTTTGGGTGACGCCACGTGCGCACGTGGTCAATGACACAATGACACTTCTCGCTCGAAGTGCCTCCGTACCGGACCGGTTTGTACCGGTTCTATCAGCTAAGTGCTCCTTAGCAGAAAACTCTATCTGCCTTCATTTTCCAACATCACAAAAAAATCTTCTGCTTCTTGCAGTATTGTTGTTGTTGTACCCCTCCCGTCAAGGTATCCTACTGCATTGTACCATACGATGAAGGAGTCTCTTGTTTGCCTGCTGCTCTTGGTGGCGTTGGTTCCTCTCGATGCATATCGTCGTGGTAGGGACTTTGCGAGGCCTCGTAGCCGAGCGGCACAAGAATCCGAGATGACCGTGTCAAACGCTGGCAGTGACCGCTGCCCATGCCTCTCTTCGGAGGATCTATCCGAGTCTTTGCAACAGCAAATCATGAACGATTATCTGTTTTCCGAGCGAGATGTGTCTCAAGACTTGAACATCTACACCAAAGGCTCTCAGTGCGGATTCCACCATCGCTCCGAATCGGTGTGCCAACTCGATGACGATCACGAGAGAGTGTGTGATGAAGAACTGGATTATCCTTTCACTTCCCTGGATGGAGTAAAGGTCGCTGCCAAGTGTCAGATATTTCCGCAAGAGTGCGAACGGCAGTTTTGCGTGGTCGACGTTGGAAATTGTAATTTGGATTATTTGAAGCTCAATGCGGTAGACAAGGAAAGCAGCACTCTACCTCCAGACTCGTCTAACCAAACATATTACAATACTTCAAGGGTGACTGAAGATCTAGAAGATGATCTCTTGTGGAGTGGATATGGGATCTCGTATGCTACATGTGGATACCTGGACTATCAGTCGGGAAAGAACAGACAAAAGCATGTGCTGGAAGGAACTGCAAACCGTACCGTCCGAGTGGCCTTGCTGGATTCAAGTGCCGGTTGGACCGGCTCTTTTTCGATCGATGGGGAAAACTTTGAAGGTCCATGGCAGAAATGGCGTGGTCCCACTTTGAACTTTCTACAAAAGGCTTCCCTCCAAGGTGCATTCTCGCTGAGGATAGCGAATCCAGTGCGAGACAATCCAGAGTTGAACCTGACTGCAAGGTCTCGTGAGTACCACAATGGCAGCACATCTCCCTTTGATCTCTGCGTCTACGTCACAGCTGCTGGCTTTGTGGATTTGTGTGTGGGAGATTTCACCATTACACAGGACAGGATTTTTGAAACCCGCTGGATCAAGCTACAAACCAGGTACTTGTACTTGGCAGTGCCTTTTGAATATGGGGACCAAAGCGTTTGGGATGATGTCATGACACTGTTCAAGCCTTATCAATGGCAAACCTGGTGTTTCATGTTGTTCTTTGTGGTTCCGATGATGACTATTCTATTCTTTTGGTTTGACGACGGAAAGAACCACCTTCTCCTCGATTATGAACCCATGTCCATTGAACTCAGCAGCGCCAAGAGCGACAGGAACCGTCACGGGGAGCCTCCAATACACATTGAACTCCAAAACACCCCCTGGTATGAGCGCTTCTTACGAGCCTTGAGTGTCTCTTACTTGAGTTTGGCCACGCGGAGTTACAGTGTCGATGCCTTATCGACTGCTGCCAAGATCAATGTCTACGCCTTTACCGTCTTTCTGTTTGGATTTGGGTTGACCTACACGGCCAATCTTGCAGCTCAATTGACTGTTCGCCAGCTTTCAACCCCCGTGGATAGCTTTGAAGAAGCATTGGACCGCAACTACAGGTTCTGTGTGACCCGCAAAAAGTACCAGGCAGTGCGTTCCTTTCATCCGTCCATTCGGCCGGATCGCTTTGTGATGGGTGACGATGGTTTGCCTGGATTTGAAGCCACTGAGAGTAGCGATTCTCGTGCAGATGTCTTGCGCAGGATCGACCCGATCAGGGCAGAGACTGACGAAAGGTACTGCCATGGAGCGATCATACCCCAGGAAGACTTGGAGCAGTTCAATGCACAGTCCCTGCACTGTCAAATTATGATTGTTGGAACCCAAGTCGCTGCCGAAACGACTGGTTTGCCCATGAGCCCCGCCACAGGTAGCAAGCTCGACGACCTGTACGACTATTTGAGTGCGCTCGAGTCGAAGGGCGACTTTGTCAAGGAATTGGCAGGTGTTCGTCCGACGTCACGTTGCGCCACAAATGGCATGACCAACGAGGAAAGTGGCTTTTCTATTCGTCAAATGGGTGGTATCTGGTTGGTGTCCTTCAGCTTTTCCATTATTGCCATTATCGTGCATGTTTACTCCAACTATTTGTGCAAGCACAAGTTGATCAAGAAGGATGAGCAAGGACGGGTGATTCGCCCTGCTGCGTACCGCAATCAATGGGGTTCTCCCGTCAACGCCGAACGGGACGCCGTGTTGTTTGTGGACTTTTTCACTAAAGTGGATGAAACCGGAAAGTACCGCATGATGAAAAATCGAGGAGCCATGGATACTCCTGTTAAAGTGGACCCCAGAGAAGGTTACCCTGAGGACCATGACAATGACGGTGACGGTGCTTGAGCCAGACAGATTGCCTCCGTGGCATCTTGAATAGCCTTCTTATTGCGTGTTTGATGTTGTCATTACCTGGCAGATTGCATCCGTCAGGCGATGGTACTTTCATGACTATAATACATCGTTGCTGTGCTCAACCGCCCACCAGCCAAGGTGCAGTTCTTCTCAAGCATTAGCTAGCTAGCTAGCTAGCTATTTAGTAATACATAGGTCAAGACTTGGCGCTGTCGACAGGATGAGTACGCTCAGAGGGGAATACCCTTTCACTTTCTTCAGGGACCTGTGACAGGCGGGCAGAAAACTATGAAAGGTTGGCAGTGGTCTGTGGACATCAACTCGGCATTGCAATTTGGATTCTTGGAAGTTCCATTCAATATATAGACAATTAGAGCACTCGAGCTCCGCAATCAGGTAAGGAAATAACTACGGCACATTGGGGGCGACACATGTCCCAGGCTTGTGGTCAGAGATCTGAAGATGGATGTTGGCCAACAAATAACTTTGGACCTACCGGTAACCAAAGAACCTTTCAACGTTCTCGCTTCAAATTTTCATAACCGCTCTACTGGCTTCTATCTTAGAAGCACGACTTGAGCCTTGGGAGGTGACAACGAAGAGGAGACTGGTTGGACGGCCGAAAGCAGCGAAACCTGCCCTTGTCTCCTTGAAGAGACCTTGTTGCAGTTGTCGTTGCAGTGGCACAGGAGAGCTGCGTTAGATCTCTAGTCTTTGCGCTGTGGAAGAGCTTGTGAAAACGATAGATTGAGTTGAAAAATGGATTCTGGTGGCAACAACAATGAGCAAGAGCAGTCCGTTACGGGCGCGGCTTTGAGCGACGATGGCGCACCGAAGCAGCAGCAACAAGAGGAAGATGAGACGGCTGCGTTGACCGACATGTCGACTACCAGTCTGTCCTCGCAAGAAGGGTCCACTGGCGGTGGAGTGGCTCAAGTACCGGTAGTGTCCACTGACGCCAAGCTGCCTTTTCGGTCCTTTTTTGCCACGCGTCAAACGATCGCAGATCTCGAAGGGCAAGCGAAAAAGGAAACGAATGGTTGCCATAACTGTGGCTGCGGCGGAGTAGTGACAAAACCAGGGGCCGTGGCCGTCGACGGTCTTACTCAAGAATCGTTGTCCGTTTCGGAAGACTTGAATGATTCCTCCTCCACTGTCTCTCATGAAGTTGCGGAGAGTCGTAGTGACACGGTCGTCTCTGGAGTCAACAACGAAGAGACACCTGATCATGTTGTGCTGAACATTCGTGATGAAGACGAGGACGATGGCACTAATTGCCATAGCACCCCTGCTTCATCGTCAGCGTCCGTGGAAGAAGAAATCCCCATGATCCATGCTACTTTGGCAGAAGAGCCACCGATTCAGGCTGAACTAGTGCAGGCCACACTAGTAGTGCCTCCTCCTGTCGCGTACCATGTTCAGTTTGATGAAGAAGCTCCGCAGGATCCAACTAGTCCAACCGAAGGATCACGTCAACCGCCGGTGACACTTCCAATCGAAGATACGGCGGACCTGCAGAAGAAACTCTTTTCCAGACGCAATGTCACCTGGGTCATTCGATGTCATGTATTTCTGCTTGTGTTGGGGTTGATTTTGGGTATTCTCATTCCCAAACTCCAAGAAGAAAATTTCGAACAAGAATTATTAGAAGACATTGTGGAGGACGATTACCACTTTCCGTTCCCACATGCATCTCCCGTCATGCTCGAAGCTCCTACCGTGGTGGCTCCCAGTGATTGGTCCGCACCACCCCCCACTCCTGCCCCCGCCACGGCACCCACGCCGCAACCGTCTGTGCTTTCCGTCTATGATTGTTACAAGAGTCTCTTGGACGTGGCCATTGCACAAGTCGAAGATCCCAGCGAAGACGGGCTCTACCATCTCTGTCCCAATGTTAGGTTCAAACTTGGAGGCTACAATGACGACTACACGAGTATCGAGGAGGGAGATTACCCCCTGACAGCATTGCGCGATTCCATCGAGATTCGGTGTGCATTCGATGGAAGGAAAGAAAATCATTGTGTCATTGATGGTGGATTCCTTCAAGTGGCATTGAATCCGCCCAGCCTGCCCAACAAGACACTTACGGACCAAGCAGCCGATGCAGTGGACAATGTCACCTTTCGGGGCATTACATTCACCGGTCAGCTGAATACGACCAACAACGATTCGTATCCCAGTGGCACTTCTGTGTATATGAACCAACCGGGTCGGAATGTGACCTTTATCGACTGTGCTTGGGAAAACATGGTGGCCCCGAATGGCGTGGCTCAGATAGGGGCAGATAATAATAACGGGAGAAACAGCTCGTTGGCATCCGGGGAAGAGCCGTCAATGGGTGTGACGTTTGAAAATTGCACCTTCTCCAACATTGAGTATGGTGGAGGAGGGGCGCCATTGATGAGTGTCTTTGGACAGGAAGCGGTGCTGAGGAGGTGCCGATTCGAAGGTCTGAGCTTGCCCACGTCTCTCTCGTCTTGTGTGCTTGGCGGCAACACGATGGAGTTCTGTCAAGGGCTATTGTATTGTTTCGATCACAGTCGTTGTGAACTATCGGATATTTGCGTGGATGGCTTGGAGTTCGCTGGGCCGGGAGCGATTGCGACCACCAGTCATGAAACCGATTTGACCGTGTCCGGATCGATGATTGCAGAGGAACTTGTCGTTCCACCGGGCCTCTCCTTTTTGAATTGTTCCTCGGGATTGGCAATGTTTGCGGACGAGGAGTTTTTGATACCAGAATGCTGGGATGATGCCGTGGATGTGTTCTTTTCCAACGAAACGTCCTCGTCAAACTTTTGCGGGTTCTAAGACCCCCTTTGGGTTTGGTCGAAGACGACCCTTCCTTCCAACCCTGTTGTATGTTTGTAAAGCATACTGTTCGACTTAGCTACATAATGTTAATGCATGTATTTATGCTCTTATGCCTTCTGTAGTTTCCTTCATCAGTATGCCAACCATAGGTGCACCACTCAAGTCGCGCACTGAAGCTCCCAGCAGCCGATGCACCTGCCATTTCCAGTTGTGTAACAGGATCAAGCAGTCTTTTCTTGCGGCTTTTGCTCTAGCAGATATGGAGCAATGTTCTCCTCGCCATAGGCTTCAACAAGAGCACTTCCATTGAAATGAAAACCTTTTAACGTGCTTCTACACCTAGGAGCACCACAATTGCACTGAAACTCGCAAGTGATCTCGTTCTCAGCAGTCTCATAGTCCCATAGCAGTTCTCTACCAGTGTCAATATCTTGCAGTGCTACAAAATCATACGCTCCAAACAGGTTGGGACGAATTCCTAGGTTGGCTTCGCAGGAATGGTTGACCAATATAGCCGGAAGATCCATAATAACATGTCTATCCCAATCGGTTTGGATGCTGTGGGGTGAAGCATGGCTGTGAATCTCTAGTGCTTTGCCACGAAAGACATGCTGGCCTTTGCTCAGGTTGTTCCTGGCAAACAGACCATAGCCTTTACCATCGTTCGTTTCACGGATATCGACATTGGCATTCGCTCTGGAGGCTTCGTTGAGAGATTGCTGGCAATAGGGCATTGAGGAGGTCGACAACGGTCGAACCAACGCTCTAGTATTGAAGCATCGAGAAATCTTCCCGATTCCGACAATCCTCATGTTTCACTCCCTTTCTTCTAATTACAGTTTGATTGACTCTGAGAAATCAACAGCCAACGAGGTTCCTCTCACCAGTCTCACCATCAACCCACATCAACCCACACTCGCTGTTGGGGTGAAAAGCCGATGACAGCGCATCAGTTTGAATTTCAATCTGCCAAAGATTTGTGGCCTGCAAAACACTCCGTCACTCGGCAAATTATGATGCCACTCAGTCTTGATCCGTGACTCAATCAGATGCAAAGTGAGCGGCTCGACGAATGTTGTCTGCATTGAAGCTGGTCGGTACCGGTACGTAGTTTTCCTTCTGCATCCGTAGAAACCAGGTTTTAGAGTCGGGAAAGTTATCTTCTCGAAGCCGGCGAGGGGTCAAGCTTAGGCAAAGAAGAGGTGGGATTCAGGACTAGGTCTGTGGGATAAGGGGCCATAAATTGAGGACGAACACATGGGGTCAAAGGGCTTGAGGTAGTTTTGCAGCCTGCCAGCATCAGGTGAATGCAATGGTACCGTAGTTCTAGAGGTACTATTTTAGTATTTTAGTGTTGTAGCCATCCCCGGTCTTTCTCCTTCCTATGTTGTACCCATCAGTTCGGACACTCACTCTAGTGGCTGGAAAAGAGCATTGCCCCTTGTCTTCTACCATAATTTCTCGCTTCGTCAAGGACTTCACTCTAATAGCTGGATGAGAGCATTGCCCCTCGTTTTCTAGCATGATGCCTCGCTGAGAGATGCCTCGCCGAGAGATGCGGCAGCTTCCACAACTACATGGTGTTGCTTATCATCTTCTGCTGCACCCACTGCTGCTGAGAATTTTGTGTCCGCTGACAATTGAAGGTCTTTACCACTGTCATCCACGGCCACTTTTTGTAATCCATCTGCCGTGGATTCACTGATCATTCCTTTCACTTCAACCACATCGCCATCATCCACACCGTCGCTCTGGGGTTCTCCTTCTTCGGCTTCCTCCAGGATTGTCATTTCCAAATCTTTTGAATTGCTTCTTGCGCCATCTTCTGCGTCCGCACGTTCCAGCAACTCGCGGCGTTCCGAGATGGAACCTTGTCGCATCGGCAGTCGTATGAACGCATCTTGCCGACTACTCTTGGTGTTCCCACTAACAGTGCTCGTCGCTGTAGTGGCTGTGGTTGCGGAGCTCGTGCGGGCAACCTTCAACAACTTTGGAGCTGACGAATACAGATGTGAGTTATTGGATTCATCCAAAGTACTCATGGATGTGTTGTGGTTGACGAGGTTCAGCGCTCGTGGAGGCGGAATATCCGTGACCTGCCGTGCCGTCGGCAGTTCAGCAAGTTTAGACATGCTTGCTTCTTCTTCCTCGTCGTCCTCGGAACCGTCCTCCTGATCACCCAGATTCCCGGCATCCTCTTCATGCTCCGTCTTATCACACCCGTCATCAGGCGCATCATCGTCTGCTTCTGCATCCCCCGCAGCGGAAGCAATGGTGCCCAAACGTCGCAAAGGTGGACCAATTTGATTTTCATCGTCATTGCTCACCTGCCTTCGTGGCATTTTGGGTACGTCAGTTGCGGTGCTGCTCGCCACACTGTGCCGAGACAGTGACATTGACATGTCCCCCATTCGCATCGACGGATGTGAATACTCTCCCGAAACGTGGCGTTGTGGCATGCTGGGTGGGGTCAGGCTTGTCAGACTATGCATCGACAGAGAAATCAAATCACTGGTATTACTGGCGCGTTGCGATGGTGCTTCTTCGTCTTCATCATCATCGGTCTTTCGTCGTCGCGATGACTCTGTTGTCCCCTCCGCACTGCTTCCCAACAAGGAGATCCTAGCAGTGGCGGTCGACCATGCTGTACTGTTGCTCGGGTGACGTTCGGGGATCTTGGCATTGAGATTAATACTGCTGCTGAATTCATGGTTTGCTGTCGCAACGGCAGCAGCCGACTTTTTTGGGTCTGGCAAGTCTTCCGTACTGGTTGTTCGTCGCGGCATCTTTGGTTCATCATCTTCACCAGGTTCAAAATAAAAACTGTTCCCACTGTTCGTACTGTGGTTGGCCCAAGACGACTGAAGATTCGAAGCGATATTGCTGTCGTCATCTTGCAGCAGGGCGCTAATGTCGACTTTTCGGGCTCCATCACTCTTCGCACGACGAATCCTCGAAGCTCTCGCAATGACATAGGGCGAGTGGCTGCCACCCCCCTTTGTTGTTGTTGTCGTTGCGGAAGTTCGTCGTGGACGAGCACAGCTGGCTTTGCGTTCGGGTATCCGTGGTGTTTCATTGTGCAAGGACACACTGAGAGGATCTTTGCCGTCTGATGTGCCTGCGCCTCCTCCGGCGTATTCTTGATATTCTTCTTTGTGGGGTCGCAGATTCGGTAAACTTTTTTGCCGGCCAAAGCTCCTTCCCGTGTCGGCTGTGTCACCACTTATGGACCGTCGTGGCATGGCCGGTGCTCCTTGTTGCGAATGAGGACTCAGATTGTTGTTGCCGCCGTGATGATGAAGGTGGTGTTCGGCCATGGCCAGAGCCGCTTGGGCGGCCTGATTCATGGTCAATACATTCCGTCGAAAAGACTTTTGTCGATTCGGCAACTGGGGCCTCTTTTTGGTGGTGGTTGTTGTCGTTTCCTTGTGGTTGTGGTTGTTGTTGTTGTCTTGGCTATCTTGCGAGCGCGATGCTTGTAATTGTTGGACTTGCTGTCTGGCCTGTAGAATGTTTTCTCCCGTCTTTTGCCGCCTGGGAAACCGTGGTACCGTGGACAATTGGTCCAATTGAGCCGTATTCATGGATCGGTGTCCGGTCGAAGCACTCCATCGACTATTGGTGGCATCACTATTGTCCCCGGAGTGAAAACTCATGGCTAGATTCGCGGATGTGTCGTGCGTTCCAGCAGTGTCGTGCCATCGTTCCACATCTGTCTTATCACGATGGTGGAGTGGCCCATCATCGTCATCGTCGTCCCACAGTTCGAGATGATTGAGGGAATGGGTGCTCTGTTTGAGCGACTCTAGCGAGTCCCGTTGTTGCGCCATCTTGTCATCGTCGTCGCCCGATCTGGTCGGTGACATAAGTTCGGGGTCGGAATAATTCCGTTGCAGGGATCCGGGTGGCAGGGGTCGCTTGGCAGGTTCTCCCGTTCTCTGCCGTCGGGGCAGGTTGGGACTGGTTTTGGATCGAATGGGGGCTGCGACTTTGGAAGCCTTAAGACGGGAACGACGAACCGTTCTTCGTTGGGCGGGAGGGGTATGACTTCCATTGTTGGGTAGTTGTTGTTGTTGGCGTTGAGGTGGTTTTCGTTGCTGAGGTTCTTCCAGTCTTCTACGCCCTCTTCTTCGGCGTGGACGACGTCTATGTTCGTCGTCTTCTGCTTCTTCTGGATCACTCAAACTTTCCACGGCAAACGAGTCGGTACTGTCCAGAGAGGACACGGAATCGTTATCCCGCACCAAAATAAAGGCACCCTCACCGTTGTCATCGTTGGCACCCTCATCATCATCATCGTCGTACTGCAGCTCCTGAAAGCTAGCACTCATACTCTTGCGAATGTTGTCATCTCCCAATGTAGTAGATTGGGCCCCTTGTTGTTCTTCCTTAGGTTCCTTTACTATGCCATTCTGAGGCTCCTGATCCTGTCCCTTGTTCAACGATACTTCTTCCTTATCTTTCAATCCCTGATGTTCCTGAGCAACCTGATGTTCCTGAGCAAGCTGCTCAGCCTGGCTGCTCGAAACCTCCATGGAAGTGGAACGACGAATCGTGGTGTTGTTCTTATCATTGCTGTCAGTGTTGAGAATGTCCAGATTCTGTATGATCAAGCTCATCATAATGACTCTTTCTTGTGCTTGCTCTTCCTTCCTCGTCTTTGAAATCTGAACAAAGGTAGTCCCCTGCAGATAATGTAGGATGACCCTAGGTTTGGGTAGGGTAGGGTAGGGTAGGGTAGGGTAGCCAGGTATTACGTATCCCCAACGGTAGCAGCACTCCCACCGTTTAGTGGACGGATCACTGTCAAGGGGTATCTGACTCCAGGTAGACTGGTCACTCTTTCAAAGGCTGAGACACTTGCTACCCAACTCTTCTGCTACTTCAAAACTCAAAAGTTAGTTGTTGTTGTCTGGCCCTCTTGATAATAGAAGGGCAGGTCAAGTCCATTTACTGCACTTTGCTTTCTCTTGGTAGCAGGCCTTGGACGAAACCAAGTTTTGGTTGTTGTTGCTGTTCGGAGGGGTTCCCCTGTCTCTGTCCCAGCAACTCAATTCTCACTGCTGACCCAATTTGCCGCTTTCCTGTCAATGCTTCCCACTGTTTATTGACAAGTGACTCTGGTCCAGGATTTGGGTAATCCAGTGGTTTATCGAAGAAGACGCCCCGTCAACATCAGCTTATTGATACCGGTACTAGTACTCAAAAGCTACAGTACTGTACGAGCTACTGTACGGTACGGTACCTGGTCATTGTTACGAAATTATTACAACAAACTGTGTAGAAAAGTGTAAAGTAAATTAGTACATTTCATTTTCGCACGACAAACAGAAGAAGGGTTACTAGAGCAGAGTTCAACGCTGTCTAATGAAATATAGATTAGGATATTATGGTGCTAGTCCTTATACGATTTTAGTAGGTTCGTTGCTGCTGCGCCCAAGAGTGCGCCTTCAATAGTTGGCTGCTTGCCAGCACATGGACCACTAGAAGTCCTGCAGTACCGGTACCGAAACTATGACATACCGCACGGTACGTACCTTTGATATGGTCTTGAGACTTTGGTTCGAAAGCCATACTCCAGTGTTGCGATGCGTTTCTCGGAGAGGAGAGAGCGCACTTTAAAACTAGCTTGCTTTTAGCTAGTGGCCTGCCTACCAGCATCATTGGTTGTGAAACCGCAACTTTTCAGTATCTGATGAATCAAGGTAAATGCTAAATAATGGTTGGATTATCCTTTTCTAGATAGTCAAATCAACCACAAAGGCAAGCTCCGTGAAATTCGGGTCCTCAGACTTGGCTGAATGTGGTTGGCAAGTAGTGGTATCTCCTTGGGGTCCCTTCGTCCTTTTGCAATTTTTTTGGTTCATATCATTGTGTCGTGCTGTAGCTTCAACGCTTCAGAAGATGTTATGGCCAGCCGCAGGCACAAGCATATTACATGTACTGGTGCCATGAAACACCATAAAGAGAAAGGAGCTACCTGGTAGCCAAGATTGCTAAGAGGGCACTCAGCATATTTTAACATGGAAGATATATTTATTTTTGTCTGGGCTCGACTCCATTTCAATGGCAAGTTCAGCCCCAGAAAGGGGCTGTCTTCACGATCAGCAATTTAAATCTTTCCCTTCACAATGGATTAATTGCGGTACTCTCTTGAGAACACTAAAGACTCCAGGAGCTCTCCTAGTCATTGATTTGGTGAACCTCTTCAATGAGGGTTTAAAGCCAATCAGGTTCATTCCCCCCCGTTCATTGAAAAGACATCAAGTGGTTCTGCAGTGTCCTACCGTAATACTGGTGGGACTCGATACTCGTGACTGATGGGGCCTGTCCATGACCAATCAGATTTCTTGGCTTCGATCGGTGCTTGCTTCTACTGTATGTACTACTACTGTATACTGTAGTATGTCAACATTGAGCTGGGAAGCTACCAGGTAGCTGGGTAGCTGGGAAGTCCCAAGCTAAGAATAATCGTTTCTGAAATCTTCCTTTTAACAAGAGCCGATTTGCTTTAACAAGTAACCAGTTAATGGACGATTCTCTGTAGGGACGATTTAAAGGACGATCAGCGACGATTTAAGACTTAAAGATGGATTTAAGAGACACAGATTTAAGGGACTTACATCTTACATTCTAGACATGGGACTGGGGATCCAGCAGTCGGATTTTCAAAACAAAAACTCTATTTTTTCAAAATAGCCAGCCAAATGTGGAGCTCTTCTATTTTAAATAGCAAGCTCACAACTACTGTATGTCTTGAATCTCTCTACTCTCTAAAGCTACCTAGCTGTCTCTATTCTAGACCCTTACACTCTGGCCCCGAGGGTGCTGTTCTCCTTTTTACATCTAGCAATACACTACCGTACGCAGCTGTGCTGAAGGCTGAAGGAGAGCCATTCACCGATCGCAAAATCTTCAGAAATAGTTATTACTCTCAAAAGGCAGATTTGGCAAAACACTAGCTATCAGGTAGTTGATCGCAGGAGGAAAGATCTCCAGACAAGTACTATTGTAAGTTAAGCCCATTGCCACCACAAATACCCAACACTTTCAGAAAACCATGAAGTAGAAGAATTCTTTGCAGGCCAAACAGTCTGAAAGACATCTACATGTACTCCACTGTACCGATAGGAGGGAGGTGTCACGTTGCCAAGTAGCTGGACAGCGGGTACCGAGCCAGCCATTGACGGCTTTTGGATAGAATTCAGGTAATGATGGTTTCCTTTTCTACATCTTCAGATTAAATAATTACCTCAACCACCTCCAAATAGCTACTGTTGCATTATTATTGCATTTAAAAGACGATGACACCGTCGCAACAAAGACCAACCGCACCGACAGAAATATCCATACACCATGTCCAATGTTCGCCCTGGTAGAACTCAGGCCACACGGTTGCGGCCCGCCAGTTTGGGTGGTGCCTTGCTACAGAAAGTAGCTGCCAACAATACCCAGCTGATGTTGGCTGTGATTATTGCTTTGCAGGTGGCAGTGCTTTTTAGATCTCCACCTGCTAGTCCCAATCAATACGTCTTCAGCACTTTGTCTCCCCAAGGACAGCGGCAAGAACTAGAATCACAATCCACCATCAAGTCACAACACCACAAAACACAGCAACAAGATAACAAACCCATCAAGGTGGCATATGCCATTTCGTTGATTGAATGTACGGACAATCACAAATCGGGTCATTCGTCTGTGGCTGGACTGCAAGATGCTTCTATTGTGATGCGTCATTCCATCCATCAAAATTCCATTCGCAATCCAAGCAGTGGAAGCAAGTATGATTACCAAATGTATGCCATTATTCATGAACAAGCCAAATCCTGTGCTCCCACGCTGGAGGCAGCAGGTTTTACGACCATAATCCGGCCACCGCCAGTGTTGGAAAAGGATATCCAGGATAACTATTTGCGCAAGCATATACATAAAGAGGTGTGTTGCGGAGTTCACGAATTCGTCAAGTTGTATGCCTATCAGATACCCGCACCAATTGTGGTACATCTCGACATTGATTTCATCTTTCAAAAACCCTTGGATGCTCTCTTTGATACCATGCTGGGAACTGCTGACAAAACAACACGAGCCTTGGTCCAACGAGAAGATCCCACAGCACCATGGCCAACCAATATTGAAGCCATGATTACCCGAGATTATCACAGCACGTATCCAGGACGAAATGCTGGTTTCCAGGCAGGGTTTTGGGTCCTCAAACCCTCTCAAAAGCATTTTGACAAATTGATTGACATTATCAAAACCACAAATTATGTCGGTGATTTTTCTCCTCAAAATGGTTGGGGTGGTAAGGGCTATGGTGGATTTGTTGGAGCACGAGCCATGCAGGGCCTCATAGCCTACTATTACGACATGCATGTCCCTGACACTTGGGTTGAACTCAACAATTGTCGCTACAATGCTGTACAAGCCATTGTCCATGCAAAAAAGGATGGAAAATGTCTCTCAGGTAGAGAATCGTGTGAAGATTGCCGTGACACTCCTATTCCCGAGATCTACAGTTTCCATTACACAGCCTGTCGCAAGCCGTGGACGTGTATTGCTGTCAAGACGGATGACCCAAACAACAAAATGCCACGGAAGTATTCTGTTCCAGTTGATATTGTACACTTTGATCAATGCATGAAAGCACAAAAGGTATGGCATGCCATGCGAGCCGATTTGGAACAGAAACTGGTCCAGTTGACAGGGGACAAGAAGAATATTCTACGAAAGGGACAATCTGGCAGTTACAATAAAGAATTCTTTCTGGGGCATTGCTCCGAAGATCAGTCAGCAGGATACCTGCGGTTGGCAGGAGGGGCACCTGAAACCATCAAGAGAATACCAGAGTTGTACGAGTAGGGCATATGCATGTAGCTCAGCAGTTTACTGCTACCAATAATTGTTTATATGGGTCTCAATATCAAGTCTCAGCTCTAACTAGACTACTAGAAAAATATAGGTTGCGCTACAAAAGCTTCTACAAGCAAGGTTTCCGGCCGGTGCCGTTTGTAAGACCATTTGGCTTCTGATCCTGCCGTCTCGTTTCAAGGATGATGGTTCCAGGAGTAATGGTACCTGGTACTCAGCGCTCACTAAGGTGCGTGTACGCAATGAATCAATTTTAGAGGCAAGGAGGCTACTACTGTCAACACGTACTACTGGTGTTGCTGGTCTTGGACGAGGCCGTCGATGCGGATCCAGGAGTGGGTCCTGGTAACGGGCTAGCTGCGTGTTTGTCCAGGCGTTGGCATTGTGTGGTTGGGCAAAGCCATGCAAGCAAGTTCAGGAGTGCAGCCTAGAGTGCTGTGCTGGAAGGTTGGCCATGGTCAAGGGCCACGTGAGAAATCGTTGGTCCAGAGTTTGGGTTCTGGAAGTAGGCCTTGTGTGCTGGGCGAGTTTTTGGGCAGCTGCGAGAAGGGTCAGGAGTTGGCTGTGAACGTGCTGATGGTCAATACTCGGGTGCTATCAAGAGCGCAGGGCGCTGACGCAAGAGAGCCACATTCAGGTCACACTGATTTTCTGTCAAAGGGCGGACTGTTGGATCGCACCATCTACTAGCAAAAGTAGTAGGAGTGACCCGGAGCAGGTCGCGAACCAGGGCACCTACTATCAGGCACTTCCGCTAGTTTCTCATTTCACTCTTGACAGGCATATTGGGTATGGACCACTTGCTGGATAACCTGTGGCCGCGGCTACGAAGCATTCACGTCTCACGTCTCCTCTCTTGCTAGCTAGCTGGTGAACCAGCCAGCCTTGGGAAAAGATAGATGTAAGACTGTCTCCATCTTACAGGTGCGCTCTGTGGTTTTGTCATGGGGAAAAGCGCTTCTGTCAACGCCCGACGACGATGAGCCCTCTCCAAGTTTGTCCCGGCAACCAACAAACAAACAAAAAGTTGCAGTCTGTCCCGGCAACAAACCAACCAACAAACAAACTGAAAGCCATAGCCAGTGCACTCCATTCTTGTAGCTACCGGTAGCTAGCTAGCTAAAATGTAGTGATGCGTGTGTGTGTGTGTAATGTAGTGTAATCTGTTTTTCTATTCGCTTTACAAAGTTATGACTAAAGTTGCGCCGTGACCTTGACCATGTTTTTTTCTTTTTGGTTTTACGCCAACATGCTTCCTCTTCGCTTTGGCTTTTTCATGGTCAGATCCGACATGCTGCTACAGTTAGCGAGTCGATCGTTTTTCTCCTTTTTGCTCTTCTTCTTCTTCTTCTTCAGCTTGTCGATTCGTCCAAATGTATCTAGTGCCGTAGTGGCCGTGTGACTCTTGGTCATTCCTCCGGCTCGATGTCGCGGTGGCGACAAGGAGCGAAAGGGACTCATTAGACTGACCAACGAATCGGGCGACTTTTGTGATTGCTGTGGTGATGATGATGATGGGAGTGGTGCCGACATGGGCGAGTGTGCCAAGACGGGCGCGTCACGAACAATCGGTTCACAAAGCTCCGCGGCCGCCATGGCATCCTTGATGACATTGTCCATGGAGACGGCAGCGCTTTGTCGCTTGAAGGACTTTTGTCGATGCGGAATCTGAGGGCGAACTCGCGTAGGCGCGAACATGGGCGAGAGGCTTCGTGCTTTGGTCTCTTCTTGTTCGGTTTCAGCTTTCGTAGTGGCTGTGGTCTCTGTGGCTGTTGCTGCTTCATCCTGCTTGTTGGGTCGTCGTCCACGTCGTTTGGGTCCGGTGCTTCCTTCGCAACTGGCACCACTTCCGGAATACAACGAGTCTTGACTGTTCTGTCGACGAGGACATCGGACAATGCTGGATTGCGTGTGCGACGATGCACTCCATCGTGTTTCTCGACTGCCGACACTGCCTGCAGTGGACGCCGTGATGGCTTCTTCCGGCACCATGAGTTGGTTTATATTCAGGCGTCGAGAGCCATACAGACTGCCAATTTGGAGTGCCGGACGCTTCTTGTTCAAGGAGCAAGTGGCATCCCACTTGGCATTGGCTTGAGAGACCCGACGACGTGTCAAATGGCAGGATCGACTGGCGCTGAGATTCGAGTCGGATGTGTTGGATTGGAACTTGCGCATGGGAGAGTTCAACAAGGGGAGAGCGTTGGTGCTGCTGGGGGCACTGCCCAGTCGTCGGCTATGCTTGGTGCGCGACATGGCCAGAGGGCGGTGGCCGAGGCTGGGGCGAGTCGGAGAGAGACTCTTGGTCTTGCTGCCTCGTCGGGCGTTGCTTTGAGTGCGGGCCACGAGTGTGTTGAGACAGTGCAACGAGTCTTCCAGGGCACGGTTCGCCATGAGATCTTCTTCTTCTTCTTCACTACCACTGTTAGAGCAAAAGGACTTGTCGTCGTCGTCCGAGTCCGAGTCATCCAAGAAAGATCCAATCGAAGAGACGGACCCGTCCTCGAACCACAGCTGGCTTTGAGAGATATCACGGGGCTTCATGGTGGCGGTAATGCAAATCTCCAACATTAGTTTAGTTAGACTGGTCTTGGGTTCAGGCGATTCTGAGGGTTGTGAGGTTGTGTGGTGCACTGTGAGGGAATGATGAACCCAGGCAGCGAATGCTTCTGTATCAGTATCACCGAAGCAATAGATAGTGCGCGGTGAATATGGTAGTTTATGATGACTACCCGACGGTGGTCAAAGCAAACAACAATAGCCAGTTCTTTTGTGGGTCAGGGGCAAGCATTCCACTGAGGGAGTGGCATGGAAGATACGGAACGGCTGGTTCAGCTGATCAGCCCATATTATGATAGTTGTGGTGGCTGCGAAGCGAAGCGTACAAATTCGGTTTCGAGAGTGAGAAACAGAGAATTCGCCTCTAAGCAACGTAAAACGACGGTTTTGGCCTCTCAGCAAATGGAACCGTTCTCCAATGGTTATACTTAAAGACCAGGGCTATAGCTGAGAATTCTTAGATCAAGCATTAAAGGATCGTAATTTGTCCTTGGTCTTAAAAAGACTGCAGCTACGCCATTTTCAGTACTGACGCCTTTGGGAGCACTTGTTACCGACACTTTGCAAGGTACTGAGCCTGGCGGAGGGGGACGGAGGGAATAATAATCTTGCAAACGTTAAATCAATTTGTAAGACTCTTAGGCACTCAATAGTCAAACCAGCAGAGCTCGTGCAGTCAACCACCACAAAAGCTGCTCAAAAGCCCAAACCAAAACAGCTCCAAACAAACAGGTTTGCTCAGGTTTGCGCCTTTGAAGAAAGAACGCGTACCGCTTGATTGTTCATTAGTTTCTTCAGTTTGCATTAGAAAATCCATAATTACAGTGTTATGCTGTCGCATTCAAACCAAAGCGTTTCAATTGTACGGTAGAAAGCAAGAAAACTGAAACAATCATGGACCCTCAGTCTCTTATGAGCTGGCCATTATAGATTCTCCATACTTTCTCTATTTAAATACAGTATGCCCTCGGCACCTGACTCATAGGTCTATGAGTTCCTACAAGCAGTACCGAAAACCAAAGCTTAAAAGGATCGGGAGCGGAGTGGATGCAGAAAACACCAACGGAAGAGAATCTGTTATTTAACAATTGTCTGCCATCTAAAAATCAACTTGTCTCGATGGTCGGAAGTCGACAGTGGGAAATCCACAAAGGCGATGTTAAGACAGATTGTAAACGCTGGTAGTTCTGGTAAATATCCCTTTTCTATTTTAATTTATCTAACTTTTTTGTTTGCTCTGTAATTACCGGAACTACTGGTATCGTGAATTATGCTGTAGCTCTCGCTGGGGTGATCTGTCCTGTGAGCTGTCATGTCCGAGATACATACATGTCCGGCTGACCGCTGGTTGGCAACACGCACATAGCAGAAAACCAGACAACCGGATCAATCGTTCGTGCTACGATACTGTACCGATAGTCTAGTGCAGATGATGATGATGCACAGTCGTATCAAATGAATGAGAGCCTCTGCCTCGTGTTAATAAGCGGGATAGAGCCTGCAGGCCTTACTCTAAGCTTTTGTATAGCTAAATAAATATAAACAGTAACCGACAAAGCCTGAACTCTAATGGAGGTAGCCACTCAGCGTGGAGCTACTCACTCCACAAACTTTATTTGAATTGATCGAAAAAAGAAGCCTCTCGCAATGGCGCTTTTCCTCCGCTTTTCGGCCACTAGCCGCTCTCCGTTACCCCATGTGCATCCTCTCATTGCCTCTGGTGCCTCTGCATGCTTTGGTGGTGAAATATTGAGAGCTTTCAGGAGAAGAAGAGGTCGATTCATCGCTCCGGATCTCGCTCACTCCGGATCTCACTCCGGATCTCACTCCTCCGGATCCATCGATTGCCTCTACTAGTAGCTCTCCACTCTCAAGATGAAGCTTGACATCAAAAGGATTGGCCACAACCATTTGTTTACCATCTACCACCTTGATCATGAGTTGAGTATCAGCGAAGAGAGTGAGGATGAGCCAAGAATTCCTGCCACAAGCCGTTCCATGGCTTCTCTGTTGTCAAACTTGGATATGCTGGTCAGTACCTGGGAAGAAGACTCTACTTTCCTCTGGTCTTTCAAGAAGAACCAGTATATGACTCCAGAGCAGGGAAAGAAGGTTGGGGATCATCTGTCAAGCTTGGTGGATGACAAGGATTGCAGGCTTGTCCGCTTTGGATTCTCACCCCTTTCAGGAAGAGAGCTTATGATGAAACTCAACAGTGGCATTGAGATTGTGTTCCTTTTGCCTGCTGGCCAGGGACGCTTTGTTGAGCCAACAGGTCTAGGAGCAGATCCAGAGGTAGAGGTGGTTGTGGTGGCTCAACCTTGCCTTACACCAGTTGAGTTGCCTGCATCCAAGCCTGCTGCCATGAAAAAGCCTCCTCCTATGCCTCTGGCAATCAAGACTGTGCCTGTTGCTGTTGCTCCTGCTGTCATGAAGGAGAAACCACACAACAACAATCGCCGAGAAAGCAGTGGCACCTTGGAGCCCTGGGATGAAAGGAAGGAAGATGCTGATTTGGAGGAGTTGGTGGATTTGATTGGTCAGGAGCAGATCAGCACTCGGTCCACTGATACAGAGTACACGTATGTCACTGTAGAGGATGAAAATGAATATGCAATCCACAACAACAGACCTATCCACAGCAACCAACAAGGCAAATGGCAACAATCATAATGGGATGTATGCTCCCACCAAAAGCAATAGAAGTGTAGGTATCCAAAAAATAATATAGCACTCTTATCTTATCGTTTGACTCTCTCTAGTAGTAGCTAGCTAGCACCCTGTAGTGTGTATGTATTGCCTTGCCGGTCATGGTATGACAGTGACAGCTACTAGTTCTACTTCTTAGTTAATAGCTAGCCAAACTGGTAGATTTAGTAGCTGTCACTGTCATACATGATGACACGGGCAACCTGCTTGGCTTCTAGCTTGGCTACTTGTACATCAAGGCATTGGATACACACAGCAACAACTACATGTACAAACATCAAACTAGCTAGCTAGATCTATAGAGCACAGTTCTAGTATCAATAGTACTATAGATAGTTAAATGCTACAATGCCTAAATACTGCAGAACTTGTAGCTATCATCCACCTCTTCCTCTTCCTCCTGTTCACCATAACTGCAGTCTGAATCGATATCCTCACCAGAATCAGAGCTCGAGGCTTCTTCAGTCTCATCCTTCTTGCTGCCGACGCCGTCATCCTTCTCGGCGCCGTCATCCTTCTTCTTGGCCACTGCCTTGACATAAAGAACCGTGTCTTCAGTATCGCCTGGACCTCTGATGGTAATCTTTAGTGTTTGGCCCTCTTTAAGCTTTGGACAAGGAATCAAAGGGCCCTGCACCCAACGCTCCTCCTTCTCCTCCTTCTTGTTGTTGGCGTTGAAGGTGTCGATCTGTCCCTTGACCATGGCCATCAAGCCAGCATCCGGGGGTTCGACAGTTTCATCGCTATCGTCAGAGAGGGCGGTGGTCAATGTAGCACCCTCCTTTTCTTCTCCTTCCGGTGGTGGGAATGTGCCCCTCCTTTTCTTCTCCTTCCGGTGGTGGGAGCATGGTACCTCTAAAAAAACTCGTCAAGTTGCCTTCTCCATCATGGACGGAGGTTAGAATCAGACCTTCATGCTCTGATGGCTCGCACCCTGTTGTCACAACAGCTTGGACCCAGCACTGATGCTGAGCAAGAAGGGCGATGGTATGCATGTTGAATGCCTGGATCGTGATGGGTTTAAGCTCGTCGTCATCGTCCTTGTACGGAAGCTGGTGCAAGGGAACGACGGGTTGGTTGCCGGGAGGCCCAAGATACTTCTTGTTGAAGGCTTGGTGGCAGATCAACGAAGGCATCACAACGGTGACCGCGAGATAACCTTCCCATTCTCGTCCGTGTACAGCACTTGGGAATGCGTCAAGCGGCGGCATAACTTGGTGATGCATGTTCTTGGCATCCTTGATGACGGTTGTTTGGATGCCTCGAAAGACGTTGAAGTCATCGTTGGGACCGGTAACTTTGGTCCTCCACTTGCGCTGGTGGAAGAGGGATCGGCATGGTGGTGTCGGCTTGTGGGCAGGGCTTGGTGGAGTGGGTCTGGCGAATGGTGGAGTCGGATTCTTGGCGGAAGAGTGGAGTCGGCCATGGTGGAATCGGTGGGATAAAGAGGTAGACTTGAAAGATCGAAGACGAGGGGATCGTTGCTGCTCATGGTGGAGACGAAGGATCGAAGAGTTGAAATGCTTGAAGGATTGAGGCGGAAAAGCTGCAGAGATCTGCTGTTTGGCTGCAGATTGTCGATTTATGAGGTCAAAATGAAAGAGGCAACTCGATTCAAGTAGAGGCTTGAACCGTTGAGCCTAGTCGCCTGGCCATCAATCCCATGATTGTCGCCTATACTCAAGGAATCCAAATATCGATACCCGTGTGTGGCCTCATACTTTGTGCGTCAATGGCATGCTGCTCCGATTGGGTTTGCTGCTACTCAAGAGCCAAAGTATCGATCGATCTTGGGGAATGCATGCTTCAAATATTTCGATCCCGTGATTGCTACCATTGATAAGGAGCGTTGGTGGCGCTGAAACTGCCGATTGCATGATTCTCCGAGCCAAAGTATCGATCAATGCATGCGCCTCCGACGGTGATTGGACGATACTCAATGACCAAAAGAGTGCTCTTTGTATGATAGATTGGCAATCTTGCCGGAACGTTTAAACAACCAAAGCAATCAATAGATCATTCCCTTCTCTTTGATGTGAAAACTAGGGGCAACGCATGTTGTAACATGCGTGAGTTACTCTCTCTTTCTCTTATCTAACACAAACTGTTGCCTCTTGTGGTTTCGATCCGGAACGTCAGTGTTCCGAACGAATGGCGGGAATGGATCCGTGAGTCCAGTTTGTTAAATCTTCTAATAGTGGTTCTTTAAGTCTAAGACGTTCCAACGAAGTGACAACTCCAACTGCGAAAAGATCTCAAAAGATCGAAATCAATCAATCAATAGCAACGGCATTCCTGCTAGCTACTAGCTAGCTAGAGCACTCACGCCTTCGATCAGCACAAACTCTCCACTCCAATCTCAGCACCAAGACGATGATCCTTTCCGGCGCGTCCTTCTTCCTCCTCCTCCCTCCCCACCGACACTCCTTGCTGGTACGTCTACTTCGTCTGTGGAGCATCCTTCTTCTTGTTTGCTGCCCTCTTTTTCTTGTTTCCTGCTGCCTTCGTTGTTGATGGATTCTTTCGTTTGGCGGTGGTCTTCTTCTTCGGTTTGGCTGCCTTGTCGGCTGCCTTGTCGGCTGCCTTGTCGACTGCCTTGGCTGCCTTTCGGGCTGCTTTGGTTGCTTTTGCCAGCTTCTCCTCTGCTTTCTCAATTGCTTCTTGCTGCTCTCTTTCTTCGTCCTCTTTGGCCAGCTCCTGCAACCTTCTAGCTTCCTCTGGTGACATGTGTGCCTGTGCAAGACTCAACAATGATGGTATTTGACTGGAGTGGTGAGAGAGCCAGGATTGATTCAATCTGCTGCCTCCTCGATTCTGCCTTCATCTCACTCTGTCGCCTTCCTCTTCACCCTTCTTCCTCGTAGGCCTCTTCTTCTCCATGTCCGCTTGTGCTGCCTTTACTCTCTCATCATTGGCGATTGCCGTGTGCCTTTGAATGTTGTTGTCTTCTTCACACAAGTCGCGGACTGCTTTGAGCCGAACGTCATGCCGTTTCCCATCTTGATGGGCCCTCTCGATTGGTTCCTCTGTGTGGCTCTTGAGTCCTCGGAATCGGCGCAAGTGTTCAAGGAAATGGGCCCATGTATGGACTTTCATGGTCACAGTGGCACAGTCATCCAAAGGCTCACAGCTCCCCAACAATCCTCTCGCATCATCAAGATCTCTCCGTCAAGCTGCCATACGGTTGGTAGGCATAGTGCGACATAGATCCATGTACTGAAGGAGTCTTGCAAACGCCCCAAGGTGGAGATCAATCTCCTCTTCATCAGCTCTCTTGGCTCTCTCCTCTTCAGAAAGCGCACTCAAGTATTCCATCGCCGCTATCTTCACGTCTCCCATTATCTCGGTGGCGTGTCTCATTAGCCTCCGACACTCGTTGCCTTCCATTGCGCCGCCATGATACGAGGACGCCTTCACGTTGTAATTTTTCCTGAGTGTCTTCTCAATGGTAAGCCACAAGTCTTCGGTTTGCTTTCCGTACTCCTTCTTGTTGTTTTGCATTTTGGTAAGCTTGCTGCTCACAGTCTTCAATGTTGATTTGGCTTCTTCGTGTTTCTCCTTTGCTGCCTCCAGAGCCTTCCTGGTCTGTGTTGCGGCTCCTTCAAGAAGAAGGAATTGCTCCTTGTGATGTTCATCATCATCTTCAAAGGCTCCACCTCTACGAAGATACTCAAGGTCTACTTCCATTCCCTTGAGTTGCTCCTCCAAATCCAATGCCGTCTGCTTTGTTTCTTGGACCAGTCGCTCGCATGCTGTCTTCTTGTCTCGAGCCAGCAGCAGCTCGAGAGGGATTGATTGGATTCGTTGGCTGAGATACTTTTGGAAGTGCTCGAACACATGGTGCGCATGCAAGACTATTCCGTGGAGAGGGCAGAAAATGAAGTTGCTTGGCTCTATGTCTAGCAAGGGGGCATGGACTATGCCGTTGGCTTCGTCTGCATTATTCCTACTCAACTTGCCGGACTCCAACAACTCCAAGTGTTCCTTCATCTTTGCAAGAGTCCATGGTTCCACAATATCAAGCGGGTGGTATTTTCCTCCCCGTTGAAACTTGTGCCGCCTGTTTTTGCACCAAGGACAGTGGCAGGTCGACATGCCGGGCTTTCCAAGGGCTTCCGACACCCACTTCAAGTCGCCTTGGCCCATGATAACAAGTGAAGGATTCCGAGAGTCTCTATGGCTTTGATTGCGCCGTTGATATTAGAGATGATGTTGCTGGCGTCCAAGACTTCTCGGCTGTCCTTCTTGCAGTCGACATGACCTACCAAGTGGTCCACTTCATCCATGACCTTGTTATCTTTGACGAACCGGAGACCAAGAGTCACTCTCATGGCCCCTTGCCCATGGTCGGCTGTTATGAGGGTATGAAGCTCATCCTCTTGAAGCGACTCTCTCTTCTGCCTCTCTTCGGCGACTACATCTTGGCATGGAAGACACCAAGCATTGCGCTTTACACCGTCCTCTTCGAATTGTGTGAAGATTGGGGAGACGTTTGGCACTGCCTCAAGCGCGCGGATAGCTCTCTCTGAGTGAAAAGGATTACATTTCTCTGCATTGAGGTAAGGTCTTATGGTTCTCATTGTTTCATAGGTGAGGTTGGCTTTCCTCATCATTGACATCTGAAGGTACGGATCAATCTTCTTCTGTTTGAACTCTCCCTCCTTCTTACAGACCTCTTTGAATGCATCGTGTTCCTCTTTTCGGATGCTTGTGAGGAGTTCAACACAAAGCTCTTTTCGACTGAATGATTCCGCTTTGCCTGGAAGTGCCTCCAGCAAGATTGGAAGATTCTTCTTCGCGTTGTGTTGGAACGTCTTGGAGGTGTCGGATGGAACGATTGACACCAGTCGTCGGCCATGGCCTTTGCCTTCTCCACCGCCATACTTTGGAAGCTGAAACAGGCCAGCAACCCCATCTGTTTGGTTCTCAATGCTCAATCCTACCTGGACAATGCTCTGAATAGCTCTCTTGTTTGTCGGGAGGCAAAACCTATCAAGAAGAGGTTGGTACTTTCTGCAGTCTACTTCTGCTAATGGATTTGTTTTATCTAACAGCTCATAATGCTTCCTGTTCTTTTCTTTCTGCAGTTCGATACCCCTCTTTCGGATCCGGTCTCTGAGTGTGTCGGCGATACCATCGTCCTCTTCCTGCTCGACAAAGAAGTCTGGACTATTGAGGAACTCTGGGTTGACAAGGCCTTCAAAGATGGCAAAGAGGTCGCTTTTTGATGGGTCTCTCAAGATGACTTGCGGCTCCGGTTCTGTCTCCTCCTGCCTCGGTTCGGTTGGCGCTTCCGTCCTCTGTTGCTCGTCGTCTCCATCCGCATCCGAGTTGGTTGGAGTCACAGTCCGCGGCGGCTGTTGTTGGGTCTCTGTTGTTGCCTCGGTGGCAGTTGTGGTTGTTATGGTGAGTGCATTGGGCTGTTGTTGTGCCTGTGCAACTGCAAGCTCAGGTAAGTCATCAGCCAAGTTGGCATACTTCTTGTACATTCCATCAAAGTAGGCCGCGGCAACATATCTGTCTTTGTCAATCTTATATGCTGCCTTTTCTGCTGTCTCCAAACAGATAAAGTCTCTCAACTTGGTATTGGTTGCTGTTGCAGTCGATGTTGCTCTCTGCTTGCATCTTGTTTTGGTGCAGTGGATCCTCAACAAGTTGCCACAATCGAATCTTTCAGCGTCGGCAGCAGTGAGAGGTCGGAAGAGACACAACTTGTCGAGCGCAGATATCAGTTTGGAAGGCTTGGTGTTGAAGCCAGTTTCGTCTGTAACCAACGTTGCCCAGTAGCAGGCAGGAATCCACCGGCCATGGTGCTCTTTTTCTGACCTGCTGGCAATCCTGAAGAAGGCCTCAACAATGGACGCTGATGCTGCCATCGCGATACGGTACGTACAATGGGCTTACTGCTCAATCAAACTAGCTCCTTTTCACAACCCAGCTCGCATGCACTGTTCCTTGGGTATAGATGGAGAGGTCCTCTGATATCAATTGCTGTTTGGTGATGGACTGGTGGCTGTTGTCGCATTCCCCTTGTTGGCCATGGCGCATTGGTCTGTTGATGATTCTTCATCACGGAGTTTGCCGTTGCTTCACCTCAAAATCCTGAAGCATCAACCGAAAAAAATGGGGGTGAGTTCAAAAAAATGAGGGGCCCCAAAAAGCGCGGGAAAGGACTTGGTTTTTCCACTATAGGATTTAAAGTACTAACCAATCTATTCCCGCCAAATCCTTCAACACGAGGCAGCGCCCTGATACGAGTGTGGATGATGGTCGGTCCAGCATTCCCAAGGATCCGCATACGACTGTACATACTCGCACGTGCCAGCTCCCCACCTACAGCTTGCAGCTTGCTGATCCTTGAGCCATGGGTGAAATGCTAGATCTAACTAACTGTTGTATGTGCTCCAAGTAGCCATCTTCAGTCTTGAGAGTTGATAGGCTGGTCCCGGCTTTGGAGCTGTTCTGGGTTGATGGTTGGATTCGATACTAGCTAGCTAGTGAGTACTTTGTACCTAGTAGACTATGAGTAATAATAATATAAGCTTACACGTATACCGGTACGGTGTCTGCTTGTCTGGAAAGACTGGATTGGCTGCGATGACTTGGAACAGCCTATGAACCGCAGCAAAGCATGACTCAGGAGTGGCTCGGAATTTAAAACTTCGTCACAAGGTTGCGTTGTTGTTGCAGGGGTGTATGGGTTGCCTTTCTGTCTTTCTGTAAATGCAGCTACTGAGAGTACGACTGTAGTACACAATCAGATTCTGCACTTACTTTGCTTCCTGACTGCTTCCTCCTGGTACCGTGAGCTCGGGAGCACGTGAACGCTACCTGAGATTAATTTTTGGTTTCTTGAAGCAGTTCTTTCTTTGTGGTTCTTCCATCGAGTACAATGCAGTGTGAGGAGTGATGAGCAGGGATCTGGCATTCGGAAACTATCGAATATAGGGCCTTTCGCCGAGAGCCAACTGTCCCGGCGCAAATACATACACGTATCAGTACGTAAGAGCGACGCTGGCTTCTGGAAATCAACTCTGGCTAGTTCTCCTAACCTGAAGAAGAGTCGAATTGTCAGGTAGCTGGGGCTGTGGTGGAGGACTAGCCAGCCATGGCTCGAGCCACAGCTAAGAATGGAAGAAAGCCACCCCGAGCTCCCAATCAACCCTACCAGAAGCTACAAGGCTGGAGCGAACAAGCAGATCGCGCAAATACTTTCGTCTGCTACATGTATATTCGTCCAACAATTCAAGGACCATCAGGCATTGGTGGCCCGTTTGAATACGAGTAGTACTAGCTAGTACTGGTACCTGGTACCGTGTCATCAACCACCAACACGAGAAGGTTTAGCCGGCAGAGCTAATATTGTGGGACCTGCGAGCATGGCATGCGTTCCTGCACGCAAGGTCAATCACATATCATTGTTGATCCCACCATTCGTCTGCCCCCGCACCTCGTCTTCTTGTGTTCAAAAAGTGGTGAGGCGCCATCAGAAACTCTTTCACAGGTGCCGCTAGCTAGCCCACCCGTTGTTGTAGTTGTTGTAGTTGTTGTAGTTGTTGTAGTTGTTGTAGTTGTTGTTACTCGCCACCGGATTAGGCCAGGTTGGCGAACAAAGAACACCGAGCGGCAAGTATCAAAAATCTAACACGCTCTATCAAGGCATTCAAATGTTTGGGATGCTTCCAACCTGTCTCTTTTCTAGGATTCGATTCGGCAGTTTGTGAGTAAACTGAGTAAACTCATACTTTTAGTTCAGTCACTTTTTGCTTAACCGTCATGATCTTTCTCACTGCTTGCTGGAAAATCGATATATATCTGATATCCTTAGTCCTTAGATTCACCTGCAAGAAGCAATAAATGACATGCAGGGAAGCTAGTACATGCAGCTCATAAGCGGCCGATTCATTCTTCAAACAACAGGGTTCCTTCGCTCGAGGCCTGGACCTGGCCTCCAGGCCAAAAAGTCCTCAGCAGAGAGCAGAGTGATTTGCTACCAATCCAACAACTTGCTTCAGCAGTGAGCATGCATTATTGGAGTTGAGTCGAGTCAAGCAGACAACCAAAGCTTTAGAGCCTCTAGAATGGCGGAAAGAGGCTGTGCAGAAGTTCTAGTGGTCAAATTTCCCGGAGCAAAGAAACAAGAAACACGGAGATCGGAGATAGAAAACAAAATAAGCAAATAAATAATGGTGTGGTCTAACTAGCTAGAATTTCTTAGCGGGGAATTGCCTTACAGAGCTCCTTATATGGAACTAAAGGAGTGGACCTGAACCATGGGGGGGGGTGCCTTAAGGAAGAAGAACAACTCAACAGAAGTAAGTAAGTGTTCAATAACACCAAACAATCCCACGAATAGAATGAATGTATGATGAACTCCATGTGGTACCACCACTGGGTTTTGGATCCTTCGGCTTTAGAGGTAGCGGTGACATTGAAACCATGGTTCATACGTGCACATTCACAGTGCACCAATGATCTAATGGGATATTTCACTGGTCAAACGAAATTCTGCCGTCATTCCCCTCATTGCCTGATTGTATAAGTAAGTAGTCTACTTACGAATACTAAAGTGATAGCATACACAACAGGTACAGTATAGCGGAAATCTTTTCTTTCGTGATTGAAGGGTTAGTCGCACGATGGAACCCTTTCTACAACATCGGCATGTCATTAACTTTTTGGTTTTGCTCAGACGAATATTGACAGATTCGTTCGTATGCATGATTTACATCTCATTAAAATGGGTATATTTTAACCCTATTTATCATCTAAAGTAGGCGGAACGCAGAACATGGACCCGGTATCCCGCATTTATCCGAAAAGTTTTTACGACTCGGTGGGGTTGAAGAGTCTAATGGCAATAACGGATGCGAAGGCTAAAAGCAGATGCCATCCACCGCGTGTCGCATCTTAGAAAGACACACTCTCCGTGCACTCCGAGCAGAGAAGAATTGGATGACAAAACGTACTATGTCATAGTAGTAATAAGTGTAATTTACTTGAGTGTTCCTCCGTTCCTCCTGTTCACCTGATCTATAAATAGGAAGAATACTGTAACATATTCTGTACCAATTGATATTTCTCTGATCATCACTGCCCAATCGCGGCACTGTTTTCCCTACAAAACGAACGCCTCCACGCCAGTTTGAGTTTTGCCTGCACATCGGAGTCAGGCCTTTCAATCAAAAATGCATGGGTTTGTACTGTTTTTGCTAGAGGATGGAACCGCAAACGCTAGGGTCAAGCGTAGCGTTTAAACGCTAACAGGTCCCCTTAGCGTTTGTTATTATGCGTTTTTTAGCGTTTTTTATTACTATGAGCTCAGCGTTTTTGTTAGCGTTTTATTAGCGTTTTTGTTAGCGTTTCTGTTAGCGTTTTTTACAGTATTGGTGCACTACAATAGAGTGCAATCAGACTATTAAGCACATCCTTCCAGATAACCCAAAGTAGCATATCTGACCTCATTTTGCATCCAAACATGTCATTTTCAGGCCCGATGGTGCTATAGAACCATACCAACACGCACCGGCACCAGTACCACTGTCCAGAAAGTTCATCTATATGTATAAGGAGTTAGTTCATGTTTGGTCACTGCAGCACATCCTTCCAGATAACCCAAAGTAGCATATCTGGTCTTATTTTGCATCCAAACATGTCATTTTCAGGCCCGATAGTGCTATAGAACCATACCAACACGCACCAGCACCAGTACCACCATCCAGAAAGTTCATATATATGTATAAAGAGTTGGTGAAGTAAGTTATACAAGGTTGTAATTGGCATCTTCATTGAAAAACATTAAAAACAGAGATAAAACGCTATAAAACGCTATAAAACGCTAAAAACGCTGTTTTTATACACTACTACACAAACACGCTAAAAAACGCAAACGCTTGGGGCTAGCGTAGCGTATAAAACGCTACGCTAAAACGCTAAAAACGCTACGCTAAAAAACGTTGCGGTTCCATCCTCTAGTTTTTGCCCCAGTAGTGAAAAAGGCAACTCGGCGAGGTTAACAGACATTACAGACAGATTCACAGTTGCTACCCCCGGAAGACGTAGATGTACCATTTTAAAAAGAGTCTGAGCTCAACAGCTCATCCATCTCGGTGAAACCGATGTGGCTCGCCATTGCACCCCCCACCCCCACTGCATCCTGAAACCCCTCATTTGGAAATTTAGGGCAACGAGGTGACCAATAGCAATACCGTTTGATCACTCATAACATCACTATCACCAGGCATGCAGCGACCACCGACAGCTCAATTGAACTAACAACCATATACCCAAACAAACAAACAAATTACCTTGGCACGTAGCGCAAGCAAGAGTTATCTACTCTCATTCACGCAGCGACTACACTAGCTAGTAGATCTAGTAGAAGGTTCAAGAACTAAGCTCAACCATTCAACCCAGCAACCAGTTACAGTAGCACTTGGTTCGTTACTGGACTTGCCCAAGGATTGCAGGAGAAGAAGGCAAGAGCTGAAGCAATAGAATAGGATCAGCTACATTACTTCGTTACAATCAACACCATGTTATCCAACTTTTTGTCGGACATGTCGCAACGGCAGGTGTGGCTAGAGGCCGATGCTCAGACGGTATCTACTATGGAGGTAGATAATGAAGATTTCGAAGAGGAGGACGATGATGAGAGCGGAAGCTTCGCATCGGGTAGCGGCAGTAGTGAGGAGGACAGCAGCGAGGACACCAGTGAGGAGGAGGACAGCAGCGAGAGCAGCGAATCAGAGGAGAAGCCGCGGGCCAGGAGATATAGCCGTACGCAGCGGGTCAAGGGACAGCAACAACAACAACAACAACAGCAACAGCAACAACCAGAAGATACCCAACCGCTGGCCTCTGTCATGTCATCTCTGCGCAAGGCCAGGGCTTCCGCTCCCAATCTGATGGCTACTGGCGGGGGTATACCGACCGGTATTGGCGGGTTAAGGAACCCAAATGCCAACGCAGGCGGGTTAAGGGCCCCCGATACCCCCTTGGGCGGGTTAAGGGCCCCCGCCGCGGCTGCTAGCAATAAGCAAAAAGGCAACGCCTCCAGTGGAGCCAAAAGGGCAGGGCTCAGCCTGTTGAACGATGCCAGAATTGGCGCCTCGGTGACCTCAGTGGGGGTCAAGACTCAAGTTATGGATGTTAGTCTGGAACGGGATAATGACAACCAAACGACGCGAAGAGATGATAGTACTTCTGAATCGGCACCACTCAAGGCCACAGTGAGTGTGACGACTGTCTCGGTCTCGATCGAAGCACCCTCAGGATCCAAATCAGAACTCTTCAAAAAGACCTTGACGAACACCCTTTCTTCTCCTGATCTTGCTAGATTTCGCCGTTCGAAGACTGGCCCCATTAAAATTGACCCAAAACAGAGTCGGCGGAGGAACCGAAGTGCCAACGACAAGGTGGACAAGAATAATACATTGCCATCCGTTCGTCGCGTCAACAGTGCACCTGGACCTTTCCTGGCGAAACAGTCTCGGTGGAATTCAAGCTCCAGTTTTCTACCCCGCGACAAGGACGAGAACAGGAACACCTTTGCAGATACTGCTACTAATAATAAGGCTTCTGCCACACAAAAGATCCCCGCAACCATCCGAATTATTGGTGGTGCCGATCAGGAAACATCGCAGCAGGTTGTGAATCGAATGAAGCAAAGGCGAAAGAGCAAACTACCCCGAGCATCAGCGCCGGACCTTCGAAGCATGCTGCTGACTCCAACAACGGATACACGAGATTCTCCCTCGACGGGAAACTCCCGATGGGATTCCAGTGGCAACTCTAGTCCCACTCGAAGAATGGGACGAGATCCTGCCAGTCCGCCGTTGGCGGATGCTCGACCCAAGATTCCAAGAACATCCGCTCCCAACTTATTGGCACTGACGCGAGGACAGCCTTTGGGGAGTGGATCCCCAACAAACAGCGCCAATTGCCGATGGTCTTCCTCGTCGCCGCCCTTGTCTCAAAAGGCTATGGTGGAAGAGGCAACGACGGAAGAATCCGATACCATGGGACTGCTTCGTCGTCGGTCGGGCAGCCGGAGACGCCTCACACAAAGCAAGATTGGTGCGTCCGCTCCCAACTTGTTCCGCATGCTCTCATCGCCGCCTAGTAGCAACCAAACAACCGATGGATCAAGCGCCAATACCGGCAACGGAACATGGAAACCTGCGGCCCGCACACTGGGAGAGCTCGGCGCTAGTAGCGTCTTTCTTGGCATGGAACCAAGTAGCCAACTACTGGCAGCAATGCAGAAGAACAAGAGCCAAACTGCGGCGCCTCTAAATGCGTTATCGGGTGTTGTTTCGAGCCCCCATTTCAACATGCGCCGCTCAACAACTTTGCCAACGAATGGCACAAATGCCGCTTGGCAGCCAAAGCCAACAGGTGCGACTCCGGTTGGTACCATGGCACTGCTGGAACGACTGAGAACCCAGAATGGTGGCGGTGGTTTGGCGACGACTGCTTCAAACCAACATCAGTCGGGCGGCATGGGATTGATGAAGCGAGCAACCACCGAAGTTGATCCATCCAAAGTAATAGCTGAAAGATTGGAACGTCAGCGAGGAATCCAGAGAACAAGCAGCAGGATGGTCATGTCCACCAGTAGCAACAAGCTGCGTGGTATGGGTGTCTCAGCGCCTAATCTTCACGGCATGGGACGACGCAACACATTTCCTGCACCAGGTCCCACGAACGCAAAGTGGACTCCCAAACCTGCGGCAAACACAGGTGTCACACCCACGGTAAATTTGTGGAACTCTGTGGGGTCACGTTCTGGAACGGAGCAAAAGGTGATTGGTAGGACCACAGTGTTGGCCCAGAGCATGAGGAGAACGAAGGGTGTTGGCATTTCTACTCCAAACTTGGTGGGTCTTCAACGATCTACAGCTGTGCCAGATCCCTCCCAGGAAACAGAAGGGAGACCAGGTCTGACTGCTGCGAGCCTGTTGAATGCAGGAGGTGCAACTCCACTTCAAAGAGGAGTTCAGAGAACCAGTAGCAGAATGGTCATGTCAACCAGCAGCAGCAAGCTTGGTGGCATTGGAGTCTCGGCCCCCAATCTTCACAGACTCCATACCATTCCTTCAGCGCGATCCAAGAATGCACAGTGGACTCCAAGTGTGGTGGCAAATAGAGCTGGTTCAAGTGCATCAATGTTATGGAATTCCGTAGGGTCAGGGGTTACCGCTCAACAGGCATCAAATCCACCACCACGGGCTTCTGGCATGA